CCTTCCTGGCAGACACCGTGTGGGTTTGTACAGATGGACTTTAACACCAGGTCTTGGAGCATCTCTCTGATGAGAGAGGTGGTAGGGATGGGTCATTTCCTTTCAGGAAAGGAAATGAAATCTTGAAATCAGAGAACAAAGTGTAACAAACACTCTGGAAAGGAGACATGATAATATGTCCATGTGATTGGAAAATAAAAGAAAATTTGGAAACTGAGTGAATGCAACAGAATGGATCGGGACAAAATGAAGTGCARTGAAAAGGACTGAAACTTGCCAAAATTATACTCATTGAATTCCTGAAATCAGGGAATGAAGTGAAATGAAGAGATGACATGAAGTGCAGGGAAATGGACCAAACCTTGCTGAACTGATGCTCATTGAAATAGCAAGGTTTCATTTCCTTTCCTGAAAGCTGTATTTGGACAGGTGTGGAAACCCTGCTCCATGATCCTATGCTGTCACTGGCCCACACAGACCAAGTCTCCCACATTATTCCGAGGGCATCTGATAACTTTTCCCAGCTGCAAACACTCATTTGGGGATCACTGTGGTAAATTTCTGGAGCACAAAAGACAGGGGCTCATCTCAGCACCTCAGTGAGAGCACCCATGTATTCTGCATGTGCCTTGGAGCAGGTGACAGGGGAGGAAGGGGGCAGAACTCCTGCCCTCCTGCTGGGCTGCTTGGYAGAGAAAATGGAGAGCTCAGAGCCTGAATTTTGCTCACTGTTTCCTTCACTGGAAAGCTTCTAACCCTCTTCAGTTCCCAGGCACATTCTTCACTTTATTACAGCTGCATTTATTGGAGGGTCCTCATGCTACACCAACAAGACAAATAAAGGAGCAACCAATGTCACCACTGGCACATTAATTTTTAGAGGCCACAGAGTGATGATGTCCGTAGTGACAGAGCAGTGCAGGGTTTTTCACATCTGCAACCAGCAGAATCTGAAAGGACACCTCTGTTTCTGCTCCTGACTACAATCATTGTGAGTCCCGAGGAACAGGAGCTCCATGGGAGGACTCCTGCGGGAGCAGAGGGTTATGCAAACACTTTTATAACCTGCTGAGGAGGCGGCAGGGAGGGCAACTCCAGCTTCCGCTCCAAATCTGACACCGCTGAATTTATTCTCCCTCTGTACATCCTGCAGCACCGCCACTCTGGAAATCCAGACCCACCTCCTGCTTATCRTCCAAGCAGTTTAATTTATATTCAAGGTGAGAAAGTGAACAACATATCCATGAGATAATACCAATGTCTCGACATCTACTGGCTGCACCTCCTCCTCTCTGAGCTCTTATTCCTGTTCTTGTGCATGTATCACATTATTTTATCACTGTAAAATGATCTGTTAAGTCTGATTAGAAAAATTCCCATTTTTAAATGGAAAGGCAGAGAACTCAAAAAAAAAAAAAAGAAGTCTCCTGTTCTGCATATGACTCCTCTTCCAAGAAGAAAGCAGAGACTGGGAAAAGCAACAGCAAGAAAAACAAAAAACAAACAAACAAAAAAAACCCAAAAGAAAATAAAAAAGAAATTGACAACCATAAAGCTTCTACAGAAGCAGGAATGGCAATGGGCAGCATTGGGAAATTTTAGTTTTTCTTTAGTCCTTTTATTTTTGAGGGAGACCTCTGCCCCTAAAATCCATGCCATATTAACTGTGACAGCTACTAAAAAATCAAGAATGCAAAAAAAGTAAGGCTGTGGGCAATGCACGAATGACCAGAGAACACACCTAAACAATTCTCTCAGAAAACACCAGAGTGCACTACTGCATAGCTGAGATGATTTACAGGCAGACTGAGCAATAGTGTGGAGGTGTGAATTTGGGCTTCTTTGGCAGAAATAACCTACACACTGCAAACAGCAATTTTCTTAGTGTTGGCTATTTAATTTTAAGTCAAGCAGTTGTGATGTTCGGCGTTCCTTAACACTTGACTTTCTTAGTGATTTTCTCTGCTGTCAAAATCAGGCTAAATTATATACCAAAAGTCAGAGGCACTGAACATGAAATTACCCCAGATAATGCATCTGATTTAAYCATCAGATCTGCCATCAGAAAGTACTCAAGAAAATGATCCCTCTTGATCAGTTTGTCAGAATGGCTGATCCAAGAGCATTCTTTGCACTTTAAGGAAATACAGATGCTAGGTTAGATGTTCATGACTGAATAATGAGAACTTTTACATTTCCTTCTGTGTTCCCATTGTAAACCATAGAATCATTCAAGACAGAAAACACCTTAGCAGGTTTGTAGTACAGCCTCCTCCTTAAAGCAGAGTCACAGTCAATTCTGACTATGTTGCTTTAAACTTTGTCCAGTTGGTCTTGAAAAGCTCTACAGATGGAGATTCCAGAGCTGCTCTGGGAACCCACTGCTGTGTTTATCCTTCTTGATGGGAATGCTTTCCCTTTCAGTTCATCAGAGCCTCACTTCTATCCCTTTGTGACCAGGATGCCTTTTTCTTCTATCACACAAGTCAGTGAAGAACCTGGCTCTGTATTCTCTACAGCTTTCTCATATGGATTGAGGGTCTGTTATGAGGTTCCCTCCCCACGTCTTCTCCAGGCTGAACAAAACCCTTTCCCTCGACCTTTTCTCACAGGGGCTGCTCCAGTCCTGACCATCTCCATAGCTCTCCTTTAGACTTGCTCCAGTCATTCCTGGATTTTAACTATGCATGTTAAGTACATCCTTTCATATGCAAGCTCTCCAAATGCTTAATTTTGTTTTTCTTGGAGGCTTCCCTTACCAAAGTWGCAAACACTTACGATGCTTCTAAGGAAACCTGAACATGAGGATTCTGAGGCAGGTGGACACCTCGCACTGCGTTGCATCAGCAGCAGAAGTAGCAGACCTGGGCATCAATGGTCTCCCTGCCTGTGGGAATCCAAACAAGCTTTTTTGCCTGCTGTTCCTCTGTCAGGAAAATAAAAACAAATTCCACATCCGGATTGGATGGATTGAACGGATTTCCTGAGGTACTTACCTATACAGGGACCATTTTAATTTACCTAAAATKAATGAAATAGCAGGTTTCATTCTTTCTTGAGAATCCAGAGATTGTGCTAAACTCACCACAAACACTTCTCAATTCATCCTCTCATTAATGAATAGCACTTTCATACTCAGAAGGAAACGGAAGTATGACGACGGTATTTTTGTGGTGCTAAACACAATTAAATGGTAATGCAACCGATGCAGTCACAGTGCTGTTACACTGAAGTGGGGTATTACAGTTAACATCCAAATTTTAAACATTTTGAAAGCAAGATCACTGTATTTAAGTGACTGGCTGAGGGTGCATAGCATTGCCTAATGAAATGCAGTACACACCATGTAGCACTTTGGTCCCAAAATCTTCACCTCTTTCTAAAGTATGGTGCCAACTATGATCCTGTGTATGTTACAAAGTATTTAATGAAAGATGGGCCTTTGGTGCAAGAATTTGATTTCTGCTTTCAACAGTGAAATTTCAGGYGGCCATTTCAGACAGCACAGTACAGGGAGCCCTTTGCAGCAGAGCTCTGCTCTACTGAAATGAGACACAAGCTCCCTGGGAAGCAGCATGTTGGTGTGGGTGACATTTGTCCTCTGCTGAGCAGAATTAGTGATGGCTAGGAATTTTAGACTGTATCAAGAGATCTACGAAGTGTCAGTTCTGCTGCCTCCTGAGCTCACTGCATACACACAGAAGAAGGCATAAAGAGGAAAATGTTCTTTTGCCAAACTGATGAAACCTCTTTTCTCCCACTAGCAATATGGTGGGCAACAGATTCTCCCAGACTTCTCCCAATGCAAGTCATCATCTCATTTTGAGGTCATTACCGCTTTAGTGGATAGTGCTGCAAAATATTCACTCTGCAGAGTGGATTTTGCATCATRTGGAAAGGAGTTTTAAAATATTTTAAAGCACACTTCAAGAAAACCCACAACCTACCCTTAACATTGTAGTTCCCTAATATCACTTTGATGCATTGTTCATGTTTGCAAATTGGACAATTATATTCCTTTCTATGACARAATTAGGTGAGTAGGTGTAATACTAAACTTTTTACTCAGAGCACAGGAGCCCGGCAATGGTAATTGAGATCACAAATGAAAATTAACCCATTGGGTTAAYGGCAGAGAAAAATACAGCTTACACATTTTATCAGCATTTAAACTGTATTTCTGCCTTGCACATACAACCTTCTGCACCGATCCCATGCTCAAGATTTGCTGTTCTTTTCCATATATTTCAGGAGGTTTGGAGAAAGAAAATTATTTCACGTTTTTTGGTACAAGGCACAAAGTTTAATGATTGGACAGTCATGATCTGGAATTGTGTGGTGAGAATCACAAATCTCTGAGTAAAGCTGGAGAAATACTTCAGTGAACAATGCCTTGCAGAAACTTTGCAATGGCAAAYACAGAGCACTATTAAATTGTACAGAATGAAATCTTTCCAGTTACATCCCTGCCGTGAAGCTCACTTGGGAACAAAAGGGACCACTGTTAAATAGTAATCTAAATATAATTGTGTTGTCATCTGACAATAGGCCATTAGGTCTTGTTTTGTGTTTTGAGGAGATTTAGGCAAGTGTCCAAGTTGCCAAGTGAGTTACTTTTCAAAGGATCAACTGAAACCAAACATCAATATTACTACTAACAGGTCCTGATAACACTGAACTCTGCAGATGCATCACTCATCAGTCCTTTTGATCAGCTATGCTCAGAAATGTATTCTTATATTACTCTCTTATTTATACTTTTTTTTTTTTTCTGCTGGCTGAAACTCATTAGTGTAATATAAACCTTGCTGCATTGAAAATATTAATATTCATGAAAAMTTGTTCAGAGAGGGAAAGCAATGACTCAGAGCAGTAACTTCTTACACTTTCTACGAACAAGCTCTTAAGAAACAAGTGTCAAATATTGTGACTTTATACAAATAGCACCAGTTTAAATTTCAAGAAAGCACACAAAGTACATTTTCAAAAATCMTATTTTTATTGTTTTCATTAAATGTATCATCATTAAAAGCTTTCAACAAACTGAAACATGTCAGTATACACAAAAACCTATGCATGGTCAAGCAGATCCTTGATTATATAAATGCAGTACACCTTGGTGTGTAACAAGCCCAGAGAGTTAGTTCATCCTCACATTTTAAGCATAGCCCCTTCAGTTTCATGCATTTTTCAGAGATGTTAAAAAGTTTTGGTTTTTTTTATTTAAAGAGAAAACAGCTACAAGACTTATAGAAATTACTCATTTTTAAACCAAAATTCTTATGTCTAAATTATTAAACTGCAGCAAGAACACTTCTTCAGCTGTAGTAACKTTGCTCTGCAAACAAAAAGAAATAAAGAGAAAAGAATTAGTCACTTTGCTGTATTAGGCATAAACTATCTTTAGCAGCCTAAACACCTCACAGCTCATGCTGCATATACTTGCATTGGTTTCAAAAGTTTGCCAGGTTCAGTCACCAGCTCCTGGCTTTCTCTCTGAGCTGGAATGGAAGGGGTATAAAAACAATCATTTCTGCAATAAAGAGCTTTGCCTTTTTAAATGGTGGCTGAAAACCTGAAACTTAACAGACAAGTGCCTGCATGGGATTTCCCACTGCCCTTACAGTAACAGACTCATGATCCAGGACAGTCCACTGGGATTTACTCATATCTGCAAGTGGTTTATAAACTAATATTTAAAATTAAAATAGTTAATTATTAACTAGTAGTTTTGAAGAATAAACTTTATTCTCTCAGTTTCTGAATGTAGTTTGTTCTCGCTGATGCATTTGTTACTGGATCGGATGCATTTGTTCTTTATCTTACTTCCCTGGTGTAAATCCAGAAGGCAGCACAAGAGGGAAGGAGTGACAGAAGGCAAAAATCCAGCCCAATTCAAACAGAACTGAAATTCAGCCCAATTCAAACAGAACCACAGGATCAACAACAGATAGGGCAAACATCTCAGTACATACTGAAGACCTCACAGGAGGCTGTAAGGGAGCCCTGAAGCAACATGGATCACTGGAAATTTAAGCTGCCCATCCCCTCAAAAGCCACAAAACAGGCTTTGTAATGGTAGATTTTAGCAAGCGAGCTTAGAACCTCCCTGTCCACATCCCTGAGAGACCCCCAAAATCAAAATAAAAGGAAAGTACAATAGAATTACCCTTAGGTATATTCTACTGTGCTTCCAGATTAGTTTTACCTGAAGCAAATCCTTAACCCCTAAAGATGCCAATGATGTAGGAGCAGACACCATGCAGGGATTCCCAGCAATGTTCCCGTGCCAGTTTCATCGCTTCTGTTTCATTTTCAGACCCTTGACCATGCTGCATCGGGTCAGAGTTTTGCTCTGCTTCTCTCATAGGAATGAAACCTTTCTGGACCGATTCTTCCTGGTTTGCCACATCTTCTGGCTCCACACCAGCAGCTATTTGCTTCATGAGAGCCTCTGGATGAGCCCTCTGGCACATGGTGATCTTCAACACKTCTGTGGATTCACAAGCATGTGGGATCTTTCTGAGTTCCATGGCAATCTGATTCCAGTAAATCTTTGGATTATTTCTGAAAGCACGACACACTGATGGCTTGCCAGTGAATTCACACCAGTAGGACATGCCTTGGCTTTTGCAGTCAATTCTAAGTTTCATCTCCTCGTCATCCCCACTCCTCCTCATAATGCAAACATCTTTGGCTTTAGTCCGAAATTTGATTTCTTCACCATTGCTTCTTTTCTTTGGCTTCAGTTTCTGTCCCAATCCTCCCATGCCACAGATCAAAACTAGGAAAAATAGAGCAAAACTCTTCATGGTGAGAAGAGTTGATCAAGATCCTTGAACAACTCAATCCAAAGAAGTGAAAGCAGTAAGTAAATGGATGCTCACAATTTAAAGTCTTGGTGCACAAAGAAGCCTCTTTCCAGCAAAACAYGGGATGTAAGGGTTGGGCTTTTTTATAAAAATAATAAATCACACTTCAGTAGGCATGTGCCCATAATTTACAGCCTGAGGGAGTGTCAAATAACCTTGGGAGTGTGAACTCCCAAGAAGGTAACAAGACAAGTCTTGTAAATGCAGTTAAATACAGAACGATAGTTGTATAACTGAGCAGCACATTCCTATCCAGGATGAACATGTCATATTTGATTTTTAACAGGTATTTTCCGTTCTACAGCTGCTTTATAGGTATCTTCATGCTAGAGCTTGTAAGACTTTATCAAAGTAAAAAAAGCTAAAAGTGCCAAAGAMATCTCTGCAGCTACATCTGGATGATTATAAAGGTGAAAAAGGCTGATTTGTGGAATAGATTCTGTGGATTTTCACAGTAAGGATACAACTTTAGTACTTCTTTTTCTCAGCACATGACATGCAGTGGGGATGCATACATGGATCAACTGCCCATTTTTTAAGCCATGAAAGATTTTTACACTTCCAATATGTAAGCAAGATAAGAAATAAAGCTTGAACAAAAGGTTTTACATGCCTAAACATACACCAAACATCTGGAAGTTTTTTCATCGTCACACCATGAGTTACTTTCAGACAACAGCACGACAGCAGAATTAACATGGGTCTCAGCAGCAGGAAACAGACCACAGAGCATGCCAGATAGATATTTGCACTTTATCACCTTTTTAAAATATAGATGTTTTCCTGTTCATAACAAGTGAGCTGTAAAAATGCCATAAAACAAAGGCAAGGAAACAGAAATATTTTAGAGCAGAATCCTGTTGCACTAACTAAAAACAGAGATAAGGAAAAATCACTGTAAGTCCCTTGGCATTCAGAAGGTCATGMGGAAAAATCCCTCCTGTGCTGTGGCAAGACACAATACTTTTCTAGTTAATAAGACCCCTACTAGGCACTTCTTCCAAAGACAAAAATGCTACAGCCAGCCTGACCTGACCAGCTCCTGGAAAGGGCTGTTGTATTGTTTTGCTGTATTTCAGATACTTCAGTAACTGCAGGGTGCTAGAATCCCTGTGTTTAACACTGGCCATACATAATGGAACAGAACAGCATTTTGTGTATTTACTCACTAGGTAGTGCTAAAGAAAATACCAAGGCAAAACTACTCCTTCAACACTGTCAGCAGGGCACAACAATAAAAGCTTCTTTGATAGAAGAGGGACAAGGGCTGCCTTGCTGCTGTGGCAGCCCAGCCAACCTGAAAGCTGCCTGCTTGAAGATGGAGCCACCTGAACCTTGTTCTTCCAATGTGCCATCAAGTTTCCCCATGACTAAATACCATTTGACATGGAGAACAACCTTGCTTTCTTTTCATCTCCTTTCTAAGGCTATTTTAATAACATTTTTAGCAGAGACCTCATCTCTAGCTTCTTGTCATTACTTTCTCCTGTCTCTTCAGTGGTGTGGCTCCAGCCACATGTCATGTCACAGAACAATGGCATAAGCCTACTTTAGGCTTCAAATTCATCCTCTGTTGTTTTCTGGAGAGTCATCTCACCCTTCATCCAGCCAGATGGAAGAATCTTGCCCATTCATATTCAATTTCAAGGATTTCAAATCCCTACTGCAAGCACTCAAATACCTCCACTGACAATGTTTTCACTTCGTTATACACAACAGCACTGAGAGTTCTTAGATTAGAAACTAAAAAAAACTCTCTCTCCAGTTGTAATAATTGCTAAGGAGTCCAAAACAACTTAATTGTTGTTAATTTACACCAGCTTCAGATCTCTTGTTCTTAAAGTTTTTCAGGTCTAATCATGAAAACAAATGAACTACAAGGATAAGGAGGAATACCAAAGCTTGGATCCATATTTCTGTATTGGCTACTATGCTACCACCCTGTGTTTGTCTGACTCCCATCTGAAATTTCAGWCCTGCGTCTGCCTGTGCTTCAGATGGAACAGTTTGTGGTCTCTCATATGAGTAAAAAACAGTTGTCCTTTAACAAGGAAAGCTAGGATACCAGCAGTGAACTATGGGATCTGAAGAACTAAAAAGTATTTAATTCTGCTGTCAGTGCTATAGAAACAGGTCACGTGGATATTCTCCACAACTTATTATCTTGAATCCTATCATCTTTGCRTAATTCACATCCTTGGTGGAAATAGGAAGCTCCCTCACCCAGAGTCAAAGTTCTTTCAGTCCTTCCTACTCCAAAAGCGAAAGTAAAATATAGCAAAAAATTTAATCAGGGTAAAGAAATAYATTCTCATAAGATTTTAACTCTGTGCAGCTCTTCTGCAAGATGTCTGCGCAACAAAATAAGGGAGAACCAAGCATAAGGTAGTTAAGCAAGTTCTTTTTTATTTAAATGAACTGGGAACATTTTCTCAAATTAAAAATAGAAACTTTTAAAAATCTGCAGTTCTGAATATTACATATACACATATGCTACATACTGTCAATTAGAAATGTTTCCATTTATGACCTAAAAAAGGAAAATTTTAAGGTTATTCCAGATTAAAGACTGGTATCACTTTTCAGCATTTCTTTAAAATTATATTAATGACTTACAGGATTATCCCTACTTGAAGATAATGAACCCTGTCTGAAACAAAGTTAACAATACTGATATATGAAGAGATACTATTTTAGATCAATATACTGACTACTTCACCTGCTGGAAAGTTTTATATTTATAACACAGTTTTGGCCTTGTTGATAAATTCTGTTGTTAACTAATTTCTCAACTCAACCATATGCCTAAATTCAAGGAAATAATTCTAATAGTACAAATGTTAACTCCAATTGCTAAACAGATTTGAATTTCAATTTGTAAATCACAGCTTAAAATTATTTAGCAAAAATACTATCACTGTCTCCAAAAGAGCCACAGTGATACTATTAAGGACATTACAGAAGTGGGTGTGACAGAAAAAAAGGAAGACGGAGAATGTAAAGCATTCTAAAGATCGCCAGCACAGAACATCCCTCATGCTCTTTTTGAGTACTACTGAACTCTAGAAAGCTTAGTTTTTCACTACATTATGCATCCCACACATTCCCAACCCCCCCCCCAAAGTTTAAAAACAAACTTCTCCAAAATGTCCCTTTCAGATCTATACAGAAAAACCCCCTAATATTAAATACTTAAAAAAAAAGGGAGAAAACAAAACTGCAACTTAACTTCTTAGACACACAAAGAGACACTGTGGATCCCATTACAATTAAAATTTAGTCCAATGTAGTCATTCAAGAGCACCAAATAGCAACACTGATCATGCTGGTAAATTCATTTGTGAAGAATATTATACAATATTAAAATTTTAACTAAACACTTAGAAGTTTTAAGAAAAACGTATATACAAAAGTCGCTGTATACAAAATGTATTTTTATGTAAACGTGTATGTACTGTATTTACCACAAATCAACAATTAAAGATAAGAACTCGAACAATTGTCAGACAATTGCTAGGCAAAGGCTGTTARTCTAATTAATTCATATACTGTGATGTTAAGTAGAAAGCCCAGTGTAAAAAAGTAAAAAACCAAAAAAACATTTTAATTCAAGCCTTGAACAGTGGTATTTGAGAGGCAGTGCCCTGATCACAAAATATTCCGTACAGTAGTTTATGGCATAACATTCAATAGTACATTTTGGATTTACAGTACAGCTGACATTAAACGAGTGGCTCAGGATTTGTCAGATGGATGGAAATGCCAATACGCTTGGAAGAATAACAATGTGCTCCTGTAGAAGAGTCTTGAGCCTCATTTATATAGCCTGGAAAAAAATGACAAAAACAGTTCAGCAAAAATTTTATAAAGACAGAATTTTAATGGAACTTAAACAGAATAAAGGGGTAGATTTTCATACAAACATCAGCATCACTGAAAAACTTTTTTTATTTTTAGACCTTACACCACTCACATTGCAGAAAGCAGARCAGCCTTCCTAAAATAGTAAAGCAGTAGTAGATCTAGGATTGACTTAAGCTTATTACTTACCACTTAACATTTCCAGTATGTGTTACCACTGTTCCAAAGAACTGCACAAGAAAAAAAAAAACCACAAAACAAACACATTATTTTCTTTTGCCCACAAATAGAATGGAAATATGGTGTCTAACTTAGGTGAGATAAGTTCAGTTGGCATAAGCTATTCTCATTCTTTTACCCGTTTTTCAAGCATTTTTCACACCAGAGGAATTAGATTCATGGTTTTCTCCACCAACCTTTCAGGCTATTTTTGTTTCATGATAGAAGTAAATACTTGGATTGCTTATTTGACACCCCTCTTTTGTGAGTTTAATCCAGCCTCATGTTTTGCTCTCGCAAAAACAGTGGCTACACTTGAGGCTATTTTTATCTTTGACATGTATAAAAACACGTGTGAGACACATATACCGCCTATAGCTCTCATACATCCTAGTGTTATAAAAATATTTGCAAATATTGTCTTGTTCCAGCAAAGTTATTCAGCTGATTTTGGAGGATAAAAAACCCCAAGCCCAACCATATGGGATTCTTTAAACCTGTGAAGGTATAGGTGTATAGAATTCTATTCAAAGTCATATCACATTAAGTATCTCCAAAAATAATTTGCAGGAAATGAGAATAATCAAGGATAGCATAAAAGCAAAGAGTATGCTGAAATGAAAATTAAAATCAGGATTTTATTCATATGGGAATGCCATACTGAGAAATTCAAAGCATGCATGCCATAATTAGCAGTTTTTCAAATTATCTCAGCACATCAGAAGACAGCACTACTTCTAACTGAATCTTTAAATTTTATCACAGAAGCCCATTTTGAGTAACTTAGAATTTAGGAAAAGTAGTCAGGACTGAACTAGTGGATCTTTGTGTAAATTATTATTTTATGCTAGTAATTTTTAGGTTGTTCAGCAACACTAAATTAAACTAGTTTAATATCACTCAAATAAAACACAATATCACACAAAAAAACATGCTATGAACCTCAAGGGTATTAACAGTCATATTAAAGATTCAAAGATCAGAAAAGGACTTCTAAGGCCTGAGAAATTATTAGTTTTCTCTCAATGTAAAATATTGAAGCTCCTTAAAACTGAGAGTTCTTCAATATGTCAGGGGAGAGTACTTTGGAATTAAACTCCTTATCAGTTAGCTTGGCGAGCAAGCACCCTTAAGCTTCAGAACAGATCACAATTGTGATCATAAATATCACTAAAAACATTGTTATATAAGGATTTCCTTCAGAAGGAGATACAGAATGAAGATTTGGTCAGTATATAATTATTGTAAAATACAGTTCTAARTAACAGTATTAACCACCATCATCATAATCATCATCATTTAGATGTAACTATAAACCCTGGCAAGATGCAAATTTTGAGCTCTGTTATTCTCTTTGTACTTCACTGTTATTTAAAGCATAGTGGTACCTTCTTTGCAAATACTCAACCTATACATTCAGTCATGACATTGCAAGGTAAACCACTAAAACTAAACTGAGCTACAGATTTCAATCATAAATTTATTCCTTCTTTAAGCAACTTGCAATTTTTGCAAACCCAAAAAGAGGTTGTAGGACATCCTATATTATCCCTCTGGAAACTGAGCCTTTCAATTAGTTAATGTTTTACAGCACAGAAGCTGTAGAGGCAGAAAAGAACCCCAATCTCCTTTTTTTAAACATAACTTGAGCTTCTTGTTTTGAGATGGTACATTCTAGTCCCTCCCATGCACAAACACCCATTTTCTATGTTCACGCTTTCGGCATACCTGGACCATTTGCCTTTTGCACAGGAGATCTCTTCCCACCATTTAAATAATAAAACTACTCAGGAGTACAAATGCATCCCATCCTATCACTTCCATCTTCCATCAGAACATTTTAATAGGTTTGTCAATTTAGGACCACCCATTGTGCTGACTAAAGACCTGATTACTTGGATTTTAAGATCAAATTTAGGCAATTGCTTTGTTAAGCTGCAGGAAATTACTACTATGTCTGATGTTATGTAAAGAATATTTGAGAAATATATATCATACAGGATTTGCAATAGTGAATAATCATGCAAAAAAACTGAACAGAGAATTAAGAGATTCACTTTGAAGAATGAAGAAAATTGAACAGGTGACTAAAAGAGAAGCTGAAGTAAGGACACATGAAGGCATGCAGTTTCAGACTGGGTTTACCTTGTAAAAACAGGATTGTGTATACCATATAAATGCTCTTTATGATAACCATTATTACCATTTTCCGTACTGTAGTAAAATAAATACACTAAGAAAGACCATGTTAACTATGAGATGCACTATGTACAGTATGGCTTCTAAGACATGTACATGGGTGAGGCTATTATATGCAAAGATAAACTGTGTCTGTACAATAGAATATAACTTTTCCTTTTTAATATTCAAGAGTTATGTTATAATTTTACATTTTATAGTATTTTTATATTCTCCAAAAATCAGTTAGTTCTTTTTCTATTCTTGTTGAGTTGGAAACTCTAATATAATTTATTAAGTCTGGTGAAACAGAACATGYTATCTCCTTCGACGTAACAAGTTACATTAAAAATATAAACCGTCCCACATTAATAAAATAATTTTTAAAAGTATCAGCAAAAATGTCTTACRTTTTCATGGGTATATTTCTGACACTAAAAAACACAGAAAAGGAGAAGCAATTAAGTAGACACTAATAAGTGAGTAATTTCAGCTGTACATGCCTGTTTCTGCTCTACTGAGTTGTGAATGTGCAATGGAAAACAACCACTGTGAAATGTGAGAAATGCAATACACAGGGAAACTGAACAATGAGCAAAACAAGGCGTAGAAAACAGTAAAAAAAACTGATAGGAAAATACGTAAGAATAGTTATCATAAAGTAAAATGCCAAGTCCCTGAGACAGAGGAACTGCAATTGAAAAAGGAAAGACTGGTTAGGAATAACTAAGACAGTAAGAAAGCAAATAATACAAGGAGATTACAAATCAGGCATAATTCACCTTAACAGGTTACTTRGCAAAGCTAATTATTTGCACATTTTGAACTTATTTATATCAAGGCTGCTCACAAAGCTCTGAAGATCTCACTGTGACATAAGTTTCTCAAAGCCAGAGCTTGTACTATCTGCAGTCATGGCAAGTCAAGGCTGCCAAAGGCCACCTGCATGAAGCACTTTGCAGGCACTGACCCAAACATGCAACATTTCMCGTGAACATGCAGTTCTAATATGGCAGCACAGGTTTAAGGATTATAGAGCCTTCACATGTAACACTAGAAAAATATTTTAATCCATTTGCCATTTAGCTTATTTTGGAATGTATACTTACTCATCATATACATCCTCTGTATCCATTCTACGATAGTATTTAGAGAGTTTCACAGCAAAAATTATGGCAGGAATTAGAAACATTGAAGAGCCTCCCAAACCAAACCAGAACGTATTCTGAAACAAAAGCAAAATCAAGGAAAAAAAGAGTCACAGAGAAAACTAATCAGAAAGGTACTGAACCCTTGCTTGATATTCTAACCATAGTTACCAGAAGAACATAGTAGAAATTCGTTCTTGAAGTTCTTGTCAAAATATGAGCACTTTCTCAAGGCACTTTACAACTTGCTAACTGCAGCCCTGTTTGTGTAACTAATTCCGTTATTATACAGTTGAACTGAGTTATCACCTGATGTTTAAATGTTTTTTCAAATTTGATTTGTATTTGCAGGAAGCATTTTGACTTCCAAGTGACTCAGCTAAATTTTACTATCAGGAAAATCATGGTTCATCTCTCACCAGATGGTTAATGGCTCCACAAAAGAAAACAGAAGCTCTGTAATGTACCAGCTAATCAGTGAGTACAACACAGGTTAGGAGGTTTTCATGGTTAAGCAAAGTCAAGATAAAACATTTAATGGTTAAGCATTATCAAGGTTAGAGTGCTTTGGCTTTGACTGATCACACGTATTACTGGTAGTATCATTAGGATCTGGCTAAGATGCCATAAAGTGAAGTAATAGCTAAGAAGTGACAAGTTACTTTCCAGGCACATGGTGCTCTTTATGTCTCCAGCATACTGCTACAAGTCAAGTGATAAAACCTCATTCAGGTTTTCTAGATTTCAGAAAAGATACTTGCTTCCTGCCTATCTCACCCCTGTAAGTTAGCAACAGTTACAGATGAAACTTCAGACCTTTCTGCTTTTCCATTCTCCATTTCAAGGTGGTTCAGAATCAGTTAATTTTACAGAATTCTTGCTAACAGAAGCTTAAGTTTAGTGAAAACCTAAAAAGTCCAGCGCGGGTTTGTCTTTGGATTTGATCCAGATCAGAACATATTCTTTACATGACTTTGTATGTGATAACTTTATTTTCTTACTTCAGAGTAGTATAGCCAKAATAATTAAACGCAAATGTATGTTGAAAAAATTATTTACTTGATGCCCCAAATCTGAGTAACAAAATGTTTCTTACCACRGAATCAGTTATGTAGCGGCATAAAAAAATATCTACTGCTGTATCTATCACATTGGCAATAGGCTTGCATGCTGCTACTTCCATGGCAATCTGAAAGAAAGATTAAAAAAATACAGTTTAAAGTATCTAACAGAATAAAATAAGAATCTCTAATCTTGCTTACAGTTATAGATTACTAAATTGTTWTGTCTTACCCTATCTAAATTCAAAATAAATACCAGTAGGATATACTATCAACTGAAAGTCTTTTAAACATCAATTTACCTTCTCAAAGACTGCAGCTGAAGAGAGAAAAATGAAACAAGATGCTAATGACATCAATTTGAACTATGCAGAGTCAGGTTTAGTGCAGTATTAGCACAAATGGTATATTTCAGGCTAGCCCTGAAAATGATACTGTTAAATTTGCACTGCATTCCAAACAACACAACTCATCATTTCCATTCTGCAAACYCAACAAAACTATAGGAGACTGATTTTTCCACTCACAGTAAGTACAAATGTACTAAAACTTGAAACTACAAAATATACAATCAAAATAATACCATTATCATTATTATTATTATTAATATTACTACTACTACTGTTTGGCTTTCTTATTTTTTTTTAAATGTAGCTTCTCTCAATAAGGTAAATGCATCTTACCGACTCCTTGACCCACTCAGTGTATTGCTCAAAGTAGCCAACTATGGTATCCATGTACTTTTTTGTCTCCTAGRACCAGACAAAAGAGAACAAAAGCAAGTTAACTTCTATCTCCATGACATCATGTATTAATGTGGTTTGATCAAACAGAGCTTACCTGGACAATAACTTGAGAAGCGTTGTTATTTATGAGATTCTGAGCAGCATTAACAGCACTAATGACATTTTTCACCTTAACCTGGAGAGGAAAAGATGACATTTAATATAAACCAATCCCCTTCAGGCTGTTGCAATGSCTCTATAGCAAATGCCAGCAACCTATACTCTTGATAAACTGATGTCACTGTCTTGTCAAAACCTGACAAAAAATGCMATTCCAGACAGAACATGAGCCTGCCTAAGGATTCATGATCACCTCAATATTCTCTCATTCTGAGAAAGGATGTATTAGTGGTTATGACCTGGTATCTTTTTCTGTAACCTACACAACTAATCTATATACTAGGATTAGTTTTATCTTCCACTCTCTTTCCTCTACTTAAGTGTAGAAATACTTAAATCAATATCTACATATACACTACAGAYAGACACACAAGGTGCACAGGAAAAAAACTGTGGGCCCTATACTATCACAACAGCTCTTGATCACTAAAGTAGGACTCTGTACAGCCAGAATATGCCCCTAATCAATATCCTGAAGGACTGAGATGATTTTACAATATATGTACAACCCCATAAAGTCTCTCATGTAACACACATAAAGGATTGTGTACAAAGAGCCTGAAAACGTAGAGATGTTTCTTACTTATACTATAGARTTAAACATCATCCCTTTCTTATCATCACCTTACTTCATGGCTTCTTCCCTCCTGACTCAGTTTCAAATCACAGATCCTAACAGATACCTTGCTGCTCTGTGGTGGTGGATGGGTGAAAACTGCAAAGGGAAGCACTAAGGTAGGTACAGCTCATAAAGCTGTTGTGACTATGACTTTGCCACTACTGTGCCTGGATTCTTGCTACCAGAGCCAAGGTAGGCTGGTGGCAACAGAAAGCTTTGCTTTCAGGTAAGTAACCATCCTGCTGCTCACTCCGTGGAGAGCGAAGCCAGCTGGTCTCACAGTGCTGCAGGCACTACTGAGAGGGGAAACATGGGCTCACCCTGGAGCAGATCCTGTACAGATCCAGGATCCCAGAGCAAGGCTGATGGTGCAGAAGCAGGAAGGTAATGAGTACAACTCAAACTGACCCCAGTGGGAGCTGGGCATAGGAMAAGAGGTGGTTGAGGATGTGAATCACAAAGCTCTCTCTAGTCAGTTATACTTTCGCATTGTGTTTTGTGGTTGTTTCCCCCAAGTTTTACATTCAACAACTCCAGAAAAAAAATGCTACATTCTGAAGAAAATGAATAATACACTATTTAGAATGGTATTGAAGCCTATTTTATCACCTGACAATTCAGTTTACAATTCATACTGCCAAAAACATCCCAAATGTTCTTTTATTTTTCTCTTTACGCAGAAAAGAGATCTACATCCTTGTTACTACCTCARTGCATAGCAACCTCTTCCAATAACAGCAGCTAGAACAGCTAGAAAACTGTACTGAAAATATATACTCTGCATATGAGGTGGAAGGATTTAAAACACAAAAATGTTCCCGTTGGAGAAAGAAAAGCTTACCATAAGTTCAGATGATGTCCTCTTCAGTAACCTAATGCTCTGATTTAAAGTGCTCTATTGGAAAGCAGGGGAGAAAAAGAGCTTCAAGTCATTACTACAGATAAGAGCCCACCTGTTTTAAGCTTATATTCAGGCTTTGATTTTCTATAGATTATTTTGTTTTTAATACTACACATCACATTATATACAACAACAGCTGCATTAAAATTAATACATTGTGGGTTTAATCATCGAATCAATACYTCACCAACAGCACTGATTTAACAAAAGTTAGAAGCAATGAACTGAGTAACATTTAGTTGAAGGGAAGACAGAACAGTTAAAATCAGATCCAAGAGTTAAAAGAATTCTATACTGTGCAATTTCTGAAGGGGAAAAAGCACTTACCCTAGCTTTAACATATTTCTTGACAGTCAGTTTTGTAAAAGAAAAAAGAGATGAGAATAATTAGGAGTTAATTAGGAAAGAATAGCACAGAATCAGAGTGGACCAGAAGATCGAATACTTTTCTGTAAGTGGACTTTCATGGGGCAGGAATACTGCCTCAGATGCTAGGATAAATTAAAAGTCTTCATGTTATGTAGAGGAAAAAGCAACACCTAACATGTAGGAGATTCACAGCTTGATACTGTATCATTTCAAGTCTGGCAAAATTCGGCAGAAGCCCCTTCTCATCTTTTGTAGCATCAATAAAAAAGACTGGCTCGAAATACTATTGTCAGTTTCCAATTCCAATGCTGTTAGTGACTGCTAACTCCAAGAAATAAACTGTTGAAGTCTAATGGTTTTCACTACTGAAGACAAATRACAAGCAAAAAAGAAAAYGAGTGATTTAGGGGGTTTTWGGGTTAGAGTTTTGTAAAGCTCTCGCCTACTTCTTCTATTCATATAGAATCACAAACAGCTATAGAAATAAACAGGCAAGAAAAAGACCATTATTTTAGACAGCATTATAAGCCAGTAGTAGTCTAAGTAGCAAAACTATTTATTAAATACATACTTTAGTCAGATTACTCTTCATTGACACGATCTGTGCTTAYAGAAGTCCAGCTTTCTAACCTCTTTAAGAGATTTAAGGATTTATATTTTCTACACTTATGTTTCAGTACTACTATAATGTTTTACCATAGCTTGCTCCAGTGGAACGACYTGCTGGTTATGAATCATTCGAATGTTGTTTGCGTGTCCTTTTAAGGCATTTTCCAGTGCTCCTTTTGGCTGCAAAAAAATGCAATTATGCAGTATTGTTCAGTAACCTCAAAGCTTTCCAACAAAGCAAAAAACAATGAAAGTTACACATCCAATCCAGAACAGCTCATGCTAAAAATGGGATACAGCAAACTGAATTCCTCAGCACAAGGAGGGGAAAGAATCYCTCTATTAATAATTCAAACCTCAGCACCAAACCAGATACATTACCTTGCTTTTCTGGTTATAACATTATCAGGACAGATGTAACTGAAGAGAATTTTCACATGGTGAACTAAGTCATTTTAAATACAGAAGAGTGAGCACATCYCCCTCACACTCGCCACAAGCCAAACTTCACAGTAAGAGCCCTGCAGCACTGCACCCCAGCTGGGATAAGCATCTTCCARTCATGGATACTTGGTTTTGTTTTGGCAATGTGGACATCACCCTGAGGCACCCTCTGGTTTCCAAGGGGCACAGAATTTTAAGTATCTTCAGCCAGTCACGTGGAAAGCTGCCTATGAAGGGTTTTTTCTGGTTTTGTGGCTCCCACCTTTCAGTCAGAAGATACGAGTTTCTGCTCTGTTTTTCAAGTCCAAATGCCTGACTGGAGCTGACACCATTGCAAAATCCTAAAAAATTCGGTTTTACTCTCAGATAGAAATTTATTTTCTATTTCCTTTKTGTAGCAAAACTACTTAGCTCCCTGCATACACACTGCTAACTCCATTTTGGATGTGTAATAATGGCAGACTTCAGTGCTCAGAGATGTAATTGCTTTCTTTGAAGTGTTCATGTAAGCACTCAGCTGGGACACTGAGCAGTTTCAGGATGCTTCATCTCCTGTACTGACAAGATGAATTCATTTACCTAACAACACATGTGAGTGGTATTGCTCTCTCCTCCATACCCTGACACCTTGGTTTGATGCAAGTTTTATTCCATTTGTTATTTCCAGTGTAAAAACCTATGTTCAATTTTGTGCACGGTGCCAAAAGTTGGAAACTAGATACCCAAAATTAATTAATTCTAAAAGCTTTTAGTTTATTTTTTAATTGACGGTTCTAAGAACTATCGCTAGTAATAAGTGAGATTATAAAATATCCTTGAAAACCAGTACAATTTTTTAACATTCCAACTTTTTTAATACCTTATATTACTGRAGTTTTGACCTCTTTTTTTAGACATTTCACAGATTACACTAAAAAGCATCACAAGAAAGAAAAAGACTAGACTGCAACAGTGAACACATTTAGTCATTTACAAGATTTACTTATTGAAGACAATTATGTCTTTTATGTGAAGAAATTGGTCTGCCTGATCTATTTTTAATTCTGATGCTTCTTTAAGGTTCTTCCTTAAAGAAAATTGAAAAAAAAWWGAAAWTTYTTTTTAATTTTTMAAAAAATTGAAAAAAAATCATTCAAATAATCATGACCGTTGCCATCATGACCTAACCAGTTTTTCCTTCATCTGGGATCTYAACATGTAAACACCATAACAGGAAATACTCAAATGAAGCATTCCCCTCATTTCTCAAGCCAACGGTGCAATTTAAGAAAATTCACTTTCAAAGCAGAAAATGTACAAGAGTATACAAAAATCAATAATTAGCAAGATTTAAAATACAGCTCATATGCAACATTGTTCCTCAATGTTTTTCCTTAAATGACAGTGCACCATGTACGTAAATATCTGAAGCACAAAAATTTTCCCATATAAAGTCTACTTTGCCATATATTTATACTTACATGGTATATAAATAATATATTTTATGTATTATGATATTACTGAATTGAACTTACCAACTGGTCTGCTCTTGCTTCTAAATCATTAGCAAATGAGAGAAGATCAACCTTGGTAACACTTTTATTGATCTGAAAGATGTGAGCAGTAAGAAAAGAGGTATGCTGTTATTACACTTAGGGACAGTTTGCACTCAACTACACAGCCTACTCCATCTACTCTTTATTATTTTTAATACCCATTGACCTTAACTTCTGAAGTTTTCTTCCCTAYTTTTATGAGCCTCCAAAACATGGTGTTTCACACAAAAGCAGATTTTTCCGGTTTGCCCACTGTTAAAGAAACATTTCATTTTATACTTTGTCCCAGTCATATCTCTAGTTGACTACAGTCTCACCTCTGTCAAATATGCTGAAAAGTCTATCCCATCTATTCCTGAAGAGCTGAAATTCAGAAGATTCTCCTTTCCAATTTCATCCAGCAGAATGATTTTGCTGAGGTTTATCTGAATATGTTCAATTTTAAGTGCTACATCTTCTGTATACTGAGAGAGAAACCAAAGAAAGCATAAAAGTAGTTTGCAGCCAGCACATATTCTGTTACAGCTCCTGCCAAAAGCATCTTGCTTTTGCTGACTCCTCATTTCCATGAGGAAGCATACATTGATTTTTGCCCATATCAGTTTAATTCAATTAAGTTCAACAGAATCTAGCAGGTAATGCTGGTGGTGATGTTCTTCTCTTCCCTGCAGCATCCACAGTACCTAGTTATGCCATGTTCTAACCTGCCGTTGTCCCTTTTTTACCAATGGATTACTTGCCTTCCATTCTAACTAACATCCCTCCAGGAAATGTTATCCTTAAGAACATTAAGTTCTACCCCTGGCCCTAAGAAAGGAAACSTAGAGAAGTCAGTATCTCAGCTGCAGCCAGGACAGACACTCTTTGCCACAGGACTGGACAGGACTCCTCTACATACCTTTAGTGGTGACTGAAGATGACTTGCTTAGTGTTATCTGAACTCTTCCTGCACTGCACCCAACCTATGTTACCTGCAGTGGTTGCAGAGCTATAGTTGAGGAATCGGAAAATTTGGCTTCCTTCACTGCCTCTATTAGTCCATTGTGGAAACTAAAAATAATTGTCCCTSTTAGTGAATCTTCCTTGTTCATTTTCATTGTATATTATTTGGGGCAGGGACTGTGTCTATTAAGTGGGCACAGTGCCTGGCAGAATGGAATGTATCCCCAAGGGGTTGCTGTAATGAAGACAGGGATTACAGGCAACCCAAAATTAGTACAGTCCTGTAATGGCAGTGCAGTCATGGATCATTTCAGCTTGACTGAAAAGCTGGTTTTATCCCAATTACTTCCAACCAAACCCAGAACCATTCTTAGAACCAAGGTATATCATATCCTGGATCAATATAAATCTGACTGGAATCAGAGGAGAACACACCAAGACAGACTTTTATATAAAAAGAAGACTCACCGAACACCACAATGTTCAATTTAGCCTTTGAAAGATATACATCAACCTTCCATGCAAGTTTCAAAGTTAAACATTATTATCAGTTAAATGAAAAAAAAAGCACATCAGAAAATCTTCCATGACCCACTGAGASTGGTAAAAAATATCTTATTTGTAAACAGGATTCTTTCTTTCAGATTAGCTTGGACAGCTCTTGTCTCCCTGCAGAATGTTTTGTCTATTAAAAACAAAATCCCATAAAACCCAGATATGCTATATGGTGTTTCAAGAGCCAAAATAATTCAGAAACAATCATGCACTCACTCATAGTTTCATTGCTTACCATACTAATATTTARAAGCTCATTGATGTTAAACAGGTATTCTAGGTGTAGGGAAGTATAAATTCCTTTGTTTTCCTTGCAATCACTGAAAAAATACAAATACACAGATCAGTCCAAAAACCACCTTGACAACCAGTTTTTAAGAGAATGATTAACATTTTCTTATTCTAAGAAAATCAGTCCTTTAAAAAAGACTTATATTTTTGAAGCTCAATCTATAAGAGAAGTGATTAACAGTTTCTGAAAGATGCAAAATATTTTATCAAATAGCTTGACTAGTACTGTCATACAGTATTATGATGATTTTCCCCAATAACTCATATATATAGGAAAAAATTGYTTTTGCTTCTCAATCACTAGAAAATCAGAATGTCTTCTGGAACATGTGCAATTTTTGAATGTGCCTGAAATACAAAGCACAGAAGATGCCACAAAACCCATACATATAAATTGAATGAAATAAAAAATAATTGAATATGATCTGAATTGAATCTTAATCATAACTCTAATACCTGTACACTTTTTCAAAAGTCAAGTTGACATTTGGATTTTTAAAGATGATGCCAGCAAGATAGTTTTTCCAGTGCTTATTTAGTAAGTAAGGTGTATCCAAAACCTRGAAGACAAAATTCAGTAATGTTACTATAATTCCAAGTATCTTTATGTATTTATTCATATTTGGTGTTTTCACATATAACTATATCTAAGCTTATCACACACTAATGAAAATACAAGCAAAACAGCAAATTCAAACTCTCTGATAAAGAAAGTGAATATTAAGGCTCGCCATCACCAAGGAACACTGTATCAGAAAAATCTGTCTCCAAAGGAAAACAGGCATGCAGTATTAACACTGCAAAGCAAATTAAACCAAGAAAGGATGAATGYCTCTATTTGGTTTGTAAGGAGAAAGTAAAACCAGACCCAAACTCAYTTCAAGTGTCCTATAAAGACAATATGCTGTACAAAACTGACAAGACCATTGGGACTCACGGGGATTCTGTTACTTTATTAATAACACAAATAACCTTACCTTGAATAAATTTTTATCTTCAAAGGGCTCACAGACCAATTTTTCTACATTTCCACCTGTGACAAAAGTGAGCACCACTACAATCATCAGCACCCAGGAGAAAAGAAAACTGAATCCAACACCACTGAAAAAGAAGTAAGCTAAGTAAGTTTTTGCTTTACAAGAACATTGTGTGTGTGTGTGTGTGTGTGTGTGTGTGTGTACGTATGTATATATAAACACATTTGGGGCAACAAATGAAGTGAAGCCAACAGCAGCTATAGTAAGAGATATGCAAACTGATAGATGGTCTGTTTTCTATATGCTCTTGCCATCTGAAACATCTTAAATGTCGCAGTCTTCTTGAAATCTTTAGCTAAAATGCATTTAAAAACTTGCATCTGCATTGAGCATGCAAACTGTTTTAAGAATTACATTTCAGGGCCAAAAAGCCATATGATTTAGTTTTTTTAAATTCAACTCTGTAGCCTGCTGCTCTCAAATCACTTTTAGACAGGTTTCAGATGCAATCTTCTCCTGTTCCCAGCAGAAACGGCGTTAAACCATTACTACGCCCTTTTTAACTCCAAACATCTAGAAACGCTCTCAGAAGGTCAAGTGTCTCCTGTCTCCTTGCAYGGGTTTTTTAAATTTTGAGCAAGTTCAAGTCTACTTAAAAGCTAAGAATTTCCCCTTATACATTATTTGTCTCCAGTTTTTGCCATTTCCAAAGGGGTTTGCACAGAAATTCATTAGCCACAGCACTCGCCTATAATGGTAGATTCAGAAGTTTCATCTTTCAGCTGTGATGGGTGAAARAACAACCCCAAATCTCCCAGTCCTTCTGTGTAATCAATATTTACTTCTATTTTGAATGTGAAACAAATATTTACTTCTATTTTGTCTCAGCAGACGTACATAGGTAACAAGCAAAATTCTTTTCTTATCTATGTCSTTCAAAAACTCAACCAAACCAACCTTCCACAGGAACCTTTATTTATTTTTTCACTGATAAGTGAAACTTACGCCATAAGAAAGTTTCCTCCAGTGTTGGAGATACAGCCCCTGGTTGTTGGAGAAGCATGTTTATCATAACCACAGGTGCCACAGAGCAAACCAAGATAGTAAAAGACCARAATCAGGACCAACATACAGCACAGAATGAGACAACCCAGCCACCTAAGGAATAAAGGATAAAGCGCTTGGTTATTTTCACACAAAGAATATGTTGGAGACGTTCAGGARACATCATGCAATACTATATTCCCAAATGGCCCACTCGTGATTATATCTGAGCAATCAGTGTCAGCAAAGACAAAAATATTTGCTACATTRGCATGTATTTTGGGCCAGCACGCAGTCACTGTTGGATTGCAGTCAGCTGCTACTGAAGGGCTGGGGAACAAGCACCAGAAGAACATGGTTCCCAAAACCAGTTTTACTGTAGGTGGACTGCTGAAGTGTCAAAGTGCTCCAAGTGTAGCAAACAATTACTCAGAGAAAGCAGATGTTCGAACAGTATTTATTCAAGAATCAATGGAGAAATTTATGAATGTGGACTGACCATTGGTGATGAAGTACACAGCTGCTCTCACTGTGAGGYTTACTAACATTTTGCGCACTGTGTTAGGCTTGTCATTGTAAATAACTATATTTAATGCTGTAAAAACCTAGGCTTTATGTTCTGTGCCGCACTTCTTTCAATTTATGGAACACCACGTGTTACCGGGTAGTGCAGTCCTGCCTTATTTCTTGTACATACCTGTAGAAATCGTACTGCTCCACTACTGGAAAATAATCTTGAACATATGCCTCACTCTGTGTAAGATACACCATTAAATCTGCTAAAACCTTCTGAACAGGGAGCCCATTTGTGAAGGTAGTAATATTTGAGCCAATGGATTCCAGCACGCTTTTGATATCTAAAAGAACAAACACATTTCACTGTTACACATCCATAGAGGAAATCTACATTCCATKTATGCATTATAAAATGCTATTAAGCCATTTGCCACATGTAACAAACAAGCCACGAAGACGAGTGTGAGGAAGACACAAGCAGGCAACAAAAGCATCAAGCTTCAAAGCAGCAAAATGGCATTTCAAAATGCACACTTTGTTTATAGCATTCAGTTTAATGATAAAAGATGTAGACGTYGAGCCAGAGTTCCTCCTCTTTCCTCTCACTATAATGAATGTGTCACTTTTTATCTAGCTAACTTAAATCTTGCTTTTCATGCAATATTGCAAATGGCAACATTGAGAAAGACAATTAGCCACTAAGTTTAAAAAGGAGAAGAATAAAATCTATTTAAACTCCATGCCTTGGGAATACAACACTGTGAAAGAAATTGGACTGCCTATATTGAGAATCTATACTAGTTATTTTCTATCTTATTAAAAGMGATTACTTAAATGAACTCATTCTAATTAGTTAGCAACACTCCCGAGGTAACAATCCATTAGGCCATTTTTCCCTCAGATTATGATCAAACATGCTAGCCTCCACTTACAGGTTAGAGAGACACTACTTAGGTACACAAAGACATGATTCATTCACTTATTATATATATTGTCTATGTGTAAAATGCAGTTTCTCTATACTCTTCCCTTCTTTCAACTGAAAGAGTAGGATGTGTAATTACAGGTTGTAATTTGGTAGTAGGCAACACTTCCTTCTTTCTCAAAAAACAACTGGACAAGCTTTTGTCTGTTCTGATGATTACTCCTCAAATTCAACCAGGTAACAAATCACATTTGTTTTAGAAGTTTACAGATAAATGCATCTTTTTTCTAGCAAACCTAATTATTTTATTTCTTTTGTAGCTCAAACCCAGTTTTTACGCAAACAAAGCCCCAACACTTTACAAACAGATAAATTGTTTTGTCGGTGTTTTACATCTCAGATATGGAAAATGAATAAATCTGCTCTAGATTGGCTAATAAAAAGCATAATATCAGTTTTAGAAAACTGGCTCATTACAGGCAAGTTCACACAGTACACTATGCTTATATCCATACTGTGCTTTATTTTGCCCAGGAGGGAAAGAAAAAAAAAACAAACCAGAAAAACTTACAAGGAACAGCTGCTTATATATAATGCAGAACAGGTCCACAATGCAAGAACAAAAATTAAAACAGATTAGTATACATATGCTATACTACCACACAGGTACAGTCAATGAGCAAAAAAGTGTAAAGCCCAAGTAATAAAACAAGTGAGGCAGCCATTTAAATTATCCTTAAGGCATATTTTGACTTTCACTTTGCCATCCACCACACTTCAATACAGCAGCAGGGAGGTTCAGTTTTTCTAACATCACACTGTTAAGTATATGCCATAAATACATCGGTCAAGGAAAATTAGTTTTTCAACCACATAAAACATCAGTATGAAGTGAGGATCACAAGATTTCTCATTATTTGAGCAGTAAAAAGCCTAGCAGATAAAACTCCTCCATAAAATACCACATGGTCTATTTTCAGATTTAATTTAGGATACTCATCAAGATACAGTTGCTTTCTATGTTTTTTCTCTAGCATAAAATTTTAAAAACAAGTTAACTTTTACATCTCCATTTTTAATTATACTTAGCAAAAAAATATATTACCAATAAAAGAAAACAAAAACATTCARTAATCAAAGTGAAAAGATAGATTGTCCTCACCTGCTAAAATGTTCCTGGTTTGATTCACCACCAAGTCTGGAGTATCATTAAATGCTGCATAACCCTAAGAATCAAAGGTGGAAAAATTATGGCATGTTTCTCATTGTCAAATTGTTTGCAGTTTTTTTCCTTTTATTCARGGATCAAAGTACACACATACTAAAATGAATATGGAAATACAAAGAAAAAAACAGTTTTGTGACTGCATATTAGGAAAGGTGAAAGCAAAACAGGAATTCTAAATATGTTTCAGATTCAGTCTGGCCTCCAGAATATTCCTTGGGAAAAAAATATCTATACTTAAATACACATGAATCAGTCACAATCACCTCAAACTTTGTTGCCTGYCAGATCTATCTCATCCAAAAGGCAGAACACACATATGAAGATTCACTAAGTAAAAGGAGTTACTGTGTACCAGCCTWAMACTTCCTGTTTGCAAGTCTATGCCTTCCAAACATGAAATGCCTCTTACAAACAATGAAACCCAAATGTCTCTAGGAACACTGCAATGCCTTCTYCAGTGAGAAGGGGAAAGGGGTCCATGCCATGGGGACCAAGCAGTGGATGCTTGTAACCTTACTCCCTGCAAGCAGGAATACTTCAAAAGCAGGAAGGCGTCTAAACSCCTACACACAGCCTTTGGTTTCAGAAAGTGCCTCCTGTTCCTAGTACACATTTTCATATTCCTAAATTTTTCAACTGTTCAAACTAATACATTCTATTTCTAGGTGAAAATTGTAGTGTTTCTGGAAAGTCTTCCAAAAAATACTAATAGCAATTACACTTGGTCCATTGCACCCAATTTAATATTAAATATGCACATAAAGAATTCAAAATATTTTAAAATAGCTGGAATACAATAAAACTAATTTGGAAACCGTGATTTTTTTTAAATTTCTGTAGCTTGAATCAAAAAGTAGAGAGCATGCTACTGGGTCCACATTTCTGTCTTTTCATTTTTTTAGGGACTGTTCTTTCCAGCAGATAACTCGGAATACATTTTTGATCTTTAGTATCCTGGAGATACAAAGCACTATATTAATACTTTCAAGTGTTAAATCTTGGCCAAACAATGAGAGGTATCCACCAAGACGCAGGCTGAGTTGGGAGCAAAAGAATACTGCTTGAGAAATCAAGGGAAAACAAGTCATACACACATCCCAGTTTATTACTTAACAGTTYACAAGTCTGTCAAGAAACGTACCTTTTGAACCAGACTAGAAAGGTCTATTTTAAGGACATCATTGACCTTTGCAAGCTGTGAGCTCACGCCTGGCAACTAGGAAGGAAAAAACATGCCTGAGTCACATCAAAGTAGCAGTTTTGCTCATTCAGTAAATATTTCAAAGTTAAGAGAGAGGACAGAGAAACTAGAGTGATCTGTAGTAGAATCTTCCTAACACACTCATGAAACCTCTGCTGTACAAAAGGAAAGCTTAACTCTCAACATTTTTGGCAGGGCAGGTTGTTTCATTGCCCAGAGCAGCACTTTAACGTAKCTGCTTGACACACATTTTATCCTTTTCTACACAGAAGAGGAAAATAGTGACTGGAATTACCCAGAAACACAGAAAAAGGGAAGATCACTTATCTCACTAGTGATGGCACACACCAAGCCACTGACCTGAAGAAATATTACTGGGCTTATTCAAGGCAATTGCATTGAAGAGTCTGAAAAATATTTTTTAAAAGGTCTTACCCCACTAAAATTGGCATTGATGCTCAGTTGACTTAATGAATTCCTGATGATATTGCAAGTTGAGGCAGCCTGGGCCGCACTGCAYGCGGAGTCATTGAGGGTGTTGCTCAGGTGCATTTTAACATCTGTCAGGTTTGCATGAAGTCTCTCWGTTCCCTCCTGCAAAACCTCTACAGAGACACTCACATTTTCCAGTGCTTCCTTTGTCTCTCTGATGGCTGCAAGGATGAWTTTTTTTTAAAACATGTGTTAGAAGCAGCCTCGTGATACAGATATGAAGAGAAAGTGCACACGCATCAATGATATGATATTCTTAACAATACTGATTTTATAACTGCCTCTCTCCCAGAAAAACCCTCTAGCATAGAATATGTACTTATTGCACATAAAAAAAACATCACTTATGCTTTCCTACAAAGAAATTAATGTGCTCAGGTTAMTCTTACTGAGATTTCATCCACTTGCCACTTTTCTAACCTTTCCCAAGCTCTCCTTTCTCAGTGGTTTCAGTAAAGAACTTTAATGCTTGGCCATCAGAAACTAAATGCCCACAACCATCAAACATTATTTTCAGTATTTTGCTTATAATCAACTCACAAATCATGTAGCTACAAGATGAACAGTAAGATCATGATGCATCTGCCAAGCATTAATGAGTGTTCCACACTGTCTGGCTCTAGATTTCATCCTAATCACACCAAACAAAAGAACCCTGAACACTGAATAGGTGTTTAGTAGACAAAGAACCACACAAACACAACTAAAAATACACAAGTTACAAAAATGAAGTGCACTTCACATAACACAAGGTTTCATCGTGGTTTTTACCTTTGATAGCCCTTTCCACTTTGACTTCAAGACAAATAAGAGAAATAAAGCAAAAAAAGGATAACGATGACAAGTGAATAAGAAAGAATTCATGGATAAAAAAAAACCAACCCAAAACCAAAGTGACAAGTTCATGGGTGCCTTCCCTTTGTTCAGTAAGCTGTACCTCATTCCTGAAAACAGAAGTCTTAAATGAAAAAAATAATAAAGGGATATTTTCTCTAAAGGGAGAGAGAACTAAAAATRAGCAATGACAAACTCAAAGATACAATGATGAAATGCTGGTTAGCACTCTCATAATAAACTTGGCAATGTACACGACAAATTTCCTGACCTGTTGAAGACTAATCTGCAAATAGTTATGGCTCTAATAGTTAAACAGCTCTAAAAGGACAGTTTTCCTWGTATCCCTCATATTCAAAAGAAAGGGACAGCAACATGGAGCAGGAAATCCAGATTTCATCCCTCTTYATTGATTGTTGAWACTTAAGTATCAACAATACTCCATACACTTTGGTTTAGTTAACTATATTTATAAATCTTAAGATGTCTGAAATCCTCAGTTTAGAAGAAACATCAAGGCATACATAAAAATGGTTGTTGGCTCATGGTACTGCATAAAGCTATCCCATGCTGTGCCTGTTTTACCATGGCAACAGAACATTATAYATCAACGTGTACATATTTACCTCCTGCCATTGACAGAGCTGCATCAAGTGCAGGACGCACTTCTTTTCCCAGCTGTTCCTGAACTCTGGYTCCAAGCACAGGTCCAACATCTGTAGTATGGAGAGATTAAAAAACCCCACATTACATACTAGTTCAATTTAAATTGTCTATCAAACTACATGCTGTCAGACTCTTAACAAATACATATATTATGTATATACATACATGCATATATATTATATATACAATTTCATATATACATACATATGCATATAAATAYATATACAYATATTATTSAAATTTTTCTAAGGTCTGACAGTCAGGACTTAAGTGACAAAAGGTAATGCAGGGACACAGTTCTGCTTTAACTAGCTACAGGCCTATAAACAAAAGAAGTAAATTAAAATATGGTGGAAAATATTCACTAACACTCGACTACGTAGGTAAAGACACACAGAGTTTGAACAAACTCCACAATATGTATTTCACTGCATTTACTACTWTTTTGGGAACAGGATTTTTTCCACAATCTATCTTAAAGAGGTCCAGYATCTGGACAGGAATTTTGTGGCATGCTCTTTCACTACACAATATGTTTTCATAGTGCAAGAGAAACTTCAGACCTTTCTCCTGTTCTTCGTGTATCCAGCAGCATCAAGGTCACCCACAAGCCAGACCTGCCAGTCAGCTCTGCTGAAATCCCTTAAGCGTGTTAAGCCCATGTCCCCAGTCCTGTACCCTCATGCAGTCCATCCAACACGGATCCTCACAGCCACAGCTACCCCCACCTCCAMACCCTCCAGTCTCACTGCCCACAAAGAGAAATGAACCTTAGTTCAGCAAAGCCACAGAGAAACGCTAGGCAGAGTTGGGTGAAGCATTTTAATGTGACACATCCTTTGGATTATTACTGGGTCCTCTCCATTTTCAGATCCCAGTAAACAGATTTTTCAGTTGTTTTCCTTTTGATGAGATGGAAATACTGCATGGTACAGAAGCATCCCTTACTATAAGCACTGTCATGTCTGGCTTGGGAATGAGAATTTTTACCAAGCAGAAAACACTTTTCAGCATTTCCTTAGGGTGAGCAAACTGAACTCATCCACAGCTCTCTGGAGACTTCTGCTACTGCTGATTCCCTTACAAAAAAATCTTTCTGTACCCAGGTGTCACACACTTAATTCTGGTATTTCAAGAAAATAAAAGCTATCTTTATTTAATGATTGCTCTCATCACAGATCCACCTAGGTTCTGTTAACTAACACCATAAATTGGCCTTGAAAACAAACATTTAATTTGAAATTTCAGTTTGGAGTGGCTGGGAAAACTAATTCAAKCTAATATTTGAAATGCAAATGTCAGTTGTTTATTATTATTATTATWATMAWCATYATYATTATTAYTATCATAGACTTAAAGACTACATGCATTTTTTCAGACCAGAGTGCTCCTGCTAAGAATTAAGTAGGAAGACTACTCAACTACTGCTACTACTGCTTTCACAGGCTAATTCAACATGCAGTATAGCCTCACACAGACAAGACACATCAACCTCAGGGTATGCCAAGTTGACTGCATTGAAAACAACTTTTAAAATACGTTTTAAATCCACAAAGAAGCAGMGATTCTGGGCATGAGAAGTCAATTTATTATAAGTGGCAAAATGCCACAGTTGAACTGTTTGATCCCAGCAACAATCCTTTGATCCAACAATGCAAGCCTGTATGCATTTATTAATACCTGCTACCAATGCACCTTGAATTGTAATCTGTACTGACTGTGGTCAGCCCTTTCTATTAMGAATTTTGGAAAGTGAATCCTAAATTAAAAAAAAAAAAAAATAATCCATTTTCTGGTTGGTTTTGTTTACTGAAAGCTTTAAAAGTGATGCTTCATACTGCAACTGTGCTGATGGGGAAAGTGCAGCAGTTCTACTTAAAGTTTTATCTCCTGCTCTCCAACTGCTCATTTTGAAATGGCAAATACATTAAGCAGCTTTAGAAAGAAGATAAGCTTATACCTCACCTCCGAGCTGAACAGAGGACAAAGGTAGAACAAGAAAAATAAACAGAGAACTCTCTCATTGGAACTATCATAACTGCTAGTAGCTCTGTTCCTTGATATTTCGCTCCAATTTAAAAGCTGAGAAATAATATTCCAAAAAATGCTGTATTAGTTACTGAACTATAACAAGGAAATAAAATACTACCCTGGCTTATTGTATAATAGTTTAATAAAATACTTTTGAGAGATATTATGCATTATACCAGYTCTGAGTGATTTTATGTGAAAAGGATTTTAGTCTCATTTACAACTGAGAATAGCACTTCTATTTGAAAACCATATTTTCATAAATGAAGTTTCACTTTGCACTATAAGCTAATTATCTTATTGAAGTTTTTTAATACACATTGCTAACCCCCTTTAAATAAAAATACTTACTATTTAGGTCAGAGAGTGCTTTATCCTTAGCTGTGTTGTACTGGCTCACCAAGTAGTCAATTTGCTGAGAAGAAGATGATTTAAAAAACTATTAGAAAAATTGAAAAAAGTAATGCTTCTGACAGTCAAACTTTCACTTTAAAACAATCAAAATATTTGTGCCTTATGTCCAAATACCAGCTTTCTACTGTTTTCAGTTAACTAAGTATTTTATTTGCTTAGCAGAACTGCACAAAAAAAAAAAAAAAAAAAAAAAAAAAAAAAAAAAAAGGTGTTTAACTGGGACACCTCTTTAAATGGAAAATATCTCTCTGGTAAAGGATCAGGCTCAAAAATATTAACCAGTAGGAACTGCAGGCTTATAAAGGTTTCAAGCCAATAAAGTTTTCCATGCCTTCCACTCTGTTACTCGCTTTTCCAGTGGCATTAGTTCCTCCTTCATGGAAAGACTTGGCACTGAAGTGGTGGCAATTTTGAAACAATTCACCAACCAGACTAACTTGTATCTGGGTATCCTCTCAAAGCTTCTCTTATGGAAAGGAGCTGGCTGATTTGTCTTAATACAAATAGTTTTCTTTACCCACCAAGTGGATTTAGCCCAGTCTCAACTTAAGGTCTACCAAGATACCACAACAATAGAAACCAGCAATTCAGTTACCATCAAATCCAAATCCTGGGTTTGGACAAAAGACAATAAAGAACCCTCCCAACTAATTCTGAAAAGACACTACATAACCTTTATTGATCTTTGCATGTTTAAAATAGTGCACTCTGAATTCTATTGAAAACAAGTAAAACTGGTATAAAGGTTAACACATTTGACAAATGGACTTGCAATTTYAAGCATGATTCAAATATGTACCAAAGCGTATCTGGCTTGCAGTCTCAGGATTTCTGTTAAATAAAGAAGACAAAAATCCCTCCCTCCAAACAATCTATTGATCATACAGCAGTGAATGTATGTAGTACAAAGTATGAAGTGGACCTCCTTTTTATAAAACAGGAGGAAAAAAAAAAGTTTCTTACTAAGAAGGTTGTAGGTCTATTTTTGTTTTTTTGGGGTTTTTCTTTCTATCTAGGCTAACTGAAGGACTAAAATTTTGCAGGGCTACAGGTTTTGCTTTGTCTCCAACAATGTCACAGACAAAAGATGATTCTGTATAACTGATAGCGTTATTGCTCAATATTCATAGCCTGCAAATCTCCTGTGACATGGACTCTTTATACAGGACTTCTCCAAATCCTCTTACATGCTGTACATACCTCATACTGATGAGTCAAGGACATCAGTTCAAATTTCAGAGCTTTGTAGCCAATAGTTAGAAACTAAAACAAGTCCTCATTTTTTCAAGAAAATTTTACAAATGTGTATGTATGTATGATACTCATGCGCCTGGTGTGACAAAATGACTCAGGAGATACAGCTTATGACTGCATCAGCACCAAGTCTAAAAAAGAAAAATAATAATCCCACACTGAACCTGAAGAACTACTAAGTGAAACTTTGAGTAACCTCTGGCAAAAGTGTTCAATTCCTGACATCTCTAAATTTAATAATTCAGTGTTTTTATTAACATTTTAGATAGTGTCTATTTTTTCTCTATTAAGGTAGTCACTTCTACATAACAAATTTTCTCCTCTGATGTTTCTGACTGTGAGAACCCAGCACGCTATCAAGGGGACTCTGGTGGTTTCTAATGTGACTTAGTGATCCTCCTGTGCCCACTGTCAGATCCAGACTGACCAAAAGCACTGATTCAAGTGGGATTATTGGCATGAYCTCTGTTTCTTGCCACATAACTCCACCACCCATCTGTCACAACATGTGCAAACAAGTAATTTTTTGGGGAACATATCCAGATCGGAAAATATTTGATGGCATCCCCCAGATGTCTCCGCTCTCATACAGCCCAGCAGAAAGGAGCCCACAGTTACTGTGACCGGGATGCTACTACACTTGTGGATTTCATGTAACTGCATGAATTCCACTTATTTATTAATCATGCAGAAGTAAAATAGTTTGATGAAATTGAATTCAAATAATTCAAACTGATGAAAGCAAAGGTCAGATTTTTTTCCCCCTATAAATTCACAAAGAATTGAAATTACACATTGTCTACAAGTCTCCCTAACTAGCATTTCCCTTTTTTCTTCCCAACACAAAACAAGATATGCAGAGGAGACTGCTTATGGGACTTTAGGGAAAATTTGAACAGAGAGAATCTTTCCTGTTCAGTATGGTACAGTGGTACTCTGGTTTACAGAAAAAAAAAAAAAAACAGTCAAAAATATTCCTGGAAAATAAGTTATTGCGGCTCTGTCCCAGAGCACACAGAAGTATGTCCAAAATAAAAGGAAACAGGAAAGAGCAACAAGGAATCTAAGTTTTCATGTAATAAATTTTTACATTTTACTTTTAAAACTTTATTTTTACCAATTATTTATCTTCTGCTTGTGATCTACATTAGTTCAGTCGGAGGAAAAGGGACTACAAGCAACAGAGCAGCATACTCCCAAAGCACAGCTGAGAAGTTGYTCAAGGAATGCTGATCCATGAGGATAACTCCCAAGCACTTAGAGCTGTATAAAAACATCTCACCTTGCACCRTTTATTCTACTTAGTGAGACAGACAATGGATAAACAAAATACTGCAGGTGCAGTTTATATAAAAGATAAAGAATTATTTTCTTTTCTGCAGTATGTCTTATTTATACCTCTTCCCTCCCACCATCATTCCCCATAAAGAAAAAAATTCTTTACCGCTGGAGTGTCGTTAAGGAAAATTTTCAGATCTTTAAAATTACTGTTAACCAGTTTCTTTGCGCCTCGGACTTGGTTAGTTAAATGTTGGTTGGCAGCATATGCACAGAGCACTCCAACGCTACAAAAAATATAGATAACAGATATTTGTTAATGTAAGTGCGCATTCTAACATAAAACAGAATGAAAAAACTATAGCCAAAAAAAAGCCAACATTATCAAAAGAAAGAAAGGACTCCATAAATTTACACATTTGCTTTTTCTTACTACAGCTTCTCACAGGGATGTAGAGACAGACGACAAGACTGAACCAAAAGAGCCAATATTGTACTACCAACTCGAATAAAAGAAAGGAAAAGCTATGACAACCCAAAGTCTTCTGAAGTTATTAACATACAATTACTAATCTATTTGCATGGGTATTGTTAGAAAATGTGAATAGGTGAATTGTATGAGACAGAAACATTAGGCTCTTTTACAAGTATCATTAACCTTGACACAGCTACAAGCAAATGCTCCTAAGTTAACTCTGAAAAGGAGTATTTTTCATCTGATAACTTGAGCAAGATTTACTCATAATGGTACAATTTATATACATAATTGCATGGATCTTTCAAAAGCACATGAATAGCTCCTATTAATGCTATAATGATAAGCATTTCCTGATASTGAAACAAAAGGTGGAAAGCGAGCTGGAGTTCCTGTCAGCTCTGCTAGTGATAATTTTCTATTTGATCATTCCTCACTATAAAGGTCTCATTATGGCATGGCAGATCTGCATAAACARTAAGTAAAAAGGAAATTAAAGGTTGAATGAGAGACTTCAAAGCTCTCTTGTAACACAYGAACCTCAGTTTTTTGTTTAGCTTAGGTGTAAAACAGACTTAAAGAGAAGGATGACTTCAGTTTTTAAACATCTCACATTCACAACAGCTAACCTTGCAGACAAGCCCCAGAAAAGACAAGCATAACCACCGGAGTGGTAACAGCCTCAAAATCAGGCTGACAACAAACCCATCTGATGAGCTAAGCACCAACTCTGAGATTTAGCCAGCAGAAAGCTGTGATCCACTCACCACACGCAGGATATATCCCTAAAGGGCAGACACTTCCTTGAGGCTGCAGTCAGCTGYTCAGTCTCTTACTTCATATTGCAATTCAACAGCTCAGCACTAGAGAGGCAGCACCCTGAAAGGCCATTATGGACATCCAAACACAGCAGAAGGGATTCACAAGTACAAATGGTACTCTACTCCTTCAGACTGTCAAACTTCCTAAACTGGATTTTCAAGAAGACTTACATACTACTATTTTTAAACAAGACTTCTAAAAAGCCTAATTCAGGCTCTCTATGGAGAAAAAGATAGATGGTAAATGTAACTCGTGTTCCAAAGAATGTGCATTCAAAGGAAGCATAATACAGCCATATAAATGAGATGATGGAGAGCCAATAGGTACCTAAAATTGCATGACTTGTGTATCATGGCAAGATAGGAGCAAACACTCTAATTCATGATGCTCATCTCCTTCTTCAGTGGATCAAAACCAAACCTTCATCCTTATTTTGCTCTTCCTACTTCAGCTTTTCCAAACATTGTAAAGCCTAGTTCTTCTGGTTAAACAGCTCTCAAGTACAAGAATTTCTGTTGCTCTGAAAAAGTCTCGGAAGGAAAATTCTGATTTTAAAGCATGTTACCGGGAGATGTGGAAAGCTAATATACCACAGGTTGGTCTATTACAATTCCTTCACTAACATTTTTCTCAATATCCAAAAATATTTGTAACAGGATGACAGAGTTTGACACAACGAGGCAGCTTCTCTACCCAAAATTTCAGCTGTGTCTTCAAAACTGGTTAATAATTAACCTCCAGAAGTCACTATGGAACAAAGGGACACACACATTTATCCTCCTACTTAACCTACAGCAAATGGCACAGTTTTATTTCCACTATAACCAACACTCAAGCAGCCACTATCATCAGCTACCACTTAAGGAAGGAGAACTCAGAATGCCTAAATACCAAGGAACTGAGTAAATTTTAACTCAAACCACTTCATAATTCCATGATAAGAATAGTAAACAGTTTCATTTTGGATACAGGCAACATATTATTTCTTTTCACTCTACTGTGATGGCAATTGCTATCAAAACTTTTTAAGCTTTTCTTTGTTAATCAGAAGACAAACTGTCTCAAGCTATCAGGAAAAGCAAACATTTGTATATTGCTCTGAGACTTAAGAGTTTATAATCACATCCTTGTTCTTTAGACAGACAGCACTTTTATGTSCTTTCAATGCTATGCTCAGAGATCAGAAAGGTCAACTGGGAGCTAACAAAACAGTACTTTGTAAGATCTGAGCACAACTATCTCTCTCTTCAGCTTCCTAATGAAAGGAATGGGAGCAAAAAAAGATAGTAGAGATACTTTGCACAGTCAAGGTATTCAGAACAATGGTGACWATACTCTGAATGTAATTAAACAAACATGTGAGAGGAAAAATCTGTTTACTACGTAACCGAGCCTTGAGTCAACATTCAATAAGCAGTTACAAGGAGAGAGTCATAAATCAGGAATAAAAAGGACATGCTTTTTCTGTAACAGGTTAAGAAAATGGTCTAAACAATTCTTCAGGAGTCCAGTATTCCACACAAAACTTTCTTGTCGGGTTTCACGGATGGATATGAATGTTACTAAACCAGTGGCAGGGGGGAACCCAAGCTTTTCCTTTGGCTGAGCTTGCAAAAAATTTCAAGTAATAGAATAGAAACCCTGAACCAATTTACATATCGTAAGAATAGCCCCTTCCTTGCTACTAAATAATGAATTTAAGAAAATAATGGGATAGAGATTTCTGTATCAGCTTTTCCAACAAATTCTTTCAGAGAATGTTGATTTCCAGGTTCTGAACAGCATGTATTACCAAHCCTCCAAAGCCAAGAGGACAAATGTGAAGCTTGCTCAAGGTACTTGCCAAGATGCCAAACACCATTCCCTTCCTCCAGACTTGGCTTTCCCTAACATCCATCACTTCAAGAAAGATGCTACAACACAAGCTCTTCTGGAAGGACTGAAAACTGACTATGTGTTTTTCTATTCAATGCACAGGACATTTTCTATTACCAGCAAATTCGGTATTGAAATATATGGYTTCTTAAAACTCAAACGTTCCTCCCTTGCCTTTGTAATGTACAGGAACTAATGAAATAACATTATTTTCCCAGAGAAAACATGTTTGCCTAAGCCAGCAGATGACTAGTGAGTAATAGCAGGTCTCTGTCCCTAAACTTTCGGTTGATGTTTGAAGAAAAGCATGTGATTGTTTTCATGGTAAATTTGGAACATCARAATTACTTAGCCATGTATTTGATAGATTATTTGCACATCTTCTACTTTTTAGCAATAGAATCCTACTTTGTAGGACAGTGTTCATGCATAAAAGCTGAGAACCATCAAAACCACCGCATGTATTCTTGACTCAATCTATAAAGAAATATTTCAAACAGAAAGTGCATGCACTGGAAAATGACACCCTAAAGGCCTATTAAGTTTAAGATAAACAACTGCATATGTAATCACAGGCTTTATATACCCATCCTTGAGGACAACATACTTCTCACCTTAAGCTCCACCTGCAGAAAGCAGATATTGTAGGAGCTTTTTTTAAATTGAAAGTAAAGTCTCAAACTTTTATTTCCTTTACACATCACTCCAGTAAGCTGAGTCTAAAACCTCATTCTAATTACCAGAGTACTAAATCAGTGAAAAAGTGAGAAGAAATGTTCATTGTTATTAAAACCTACTAGCTGAAATAGTCTAAAATCTATAGTAAAATCATATATATGTTAGTATGAAATTGTATCCTGACACACAAGAAGAACTAACCCCATGTTACCAGAGTTTTCCAGAGTTGTTGCCTAGATACACACTCTACTGCAAGCTCCACATTCAGAGTCGTTCCCCTGCTAATACTCTCCACTGTTCGTTTAACCTGTCTTTCCCAGCCAAGGAATGGCAGTTTGGAACCATTTTTTCATATCAAGGACTGGGAAAAAAAAAAAAAAAAAAAAAAAAAGGAAAAAAAAAAAGGCTCAATGAGAGAATCCCAGAATGACTGGCACTGCAAGAGAGAGGGAAGAAAGATGGAGAACTTACACTTCAATGCTAATCCTGAAGAAGTCCACCCCCTTAGAAATCCTTCCCAGTCCCTCCAGCAGCTGTCTACATGTACATTCCATAGGAGTGCCTTTAAAGCAAAGCTCTGCTGGCAGAGGTTTGAGCTCAGGGTACTCTGAGCAATGCCTGCCTTGCTAAATCCATCTTCTAAAGTAGCACAGCGCTGGGTGAAGCAGTCTATGACATTCCAGTCACACRGCAGGGGTCTAGGAGATGTGCTCCCAAAAAAGGCCTCCAGTGATGCATGAACTTAAAATTATACTCAAACAATGACCCACCTTAGTAATTTCATAGCACATCTCGATGTAACCCYGTATTGGAGATCATTCAAGTTTTCATTCTTTTGGCTCTGTCTGCAAGTAGCCATAAGCATTTCACTCCCACAAGACTAAACCCTTTTGGTTATTGTCACAGCTTACTTATTCAGCTCTGGCACAGTCCTCGAGATTTGTGATTTTGGGAAGACCTCTATGTAAACCTTGCATAGGAACTTGGGGAAAAATCAGATGATAAATCCACAAGGAGATTTTTCTGAGTACAGTACAAGACATGTAGAAACACGTTTTAAGTTTTAAGTAAACCTCCGGCTTCCTCTGATGCTTTTGCTGGGGCAATGGCTACCAGAAGGATTGTCCTTCTGTGTTACAACACAGGAATAAGCAACCTGACAAAGGCTTAAATAGATCCAGGCATGGCATCTTCTCCTTCCTTGTTAAAGACGATCCAAGAAGGGCAGGAGAATCTCTCTTTGTAGAGTGGCATACTGGAGATATGAGCTTTCAGTCAGTCTGGGATCAGTAATATTAGCCTTGTAAAGTTCTCTCTCCCTTTGCACATCACTCACAGCATTAGATTTAACCAGGGAGTCATATAAGATTATCTACACTCAATCTGCAGACTGATCTCAACCCCCCCATTTGGGGTAAGGGTAAGTATCTGATACTCCTGATGTCTCACACAAAATTAAATTTTTTAAAAAAGAGAAAGAGGCAATTTTCTTAGTTCTGGAAAGCTCATCACTAGGGATCACTGATCTGCCAGTCGTGAACTGGGAAGAAGCATTTGCCAGTGCTAGGTATGCTTAATCCCACAAGGATAGCTGGCAGCAAACGCACAAGTTAAAGAGACCAACAAGGGAGACAAACCAGTAATTTCTCTACTAACAGACAACATTCCTCAGCCATTATAGCCAGAAAGCAGCATCCTGCAACACAGCATCTTGCAATGTGGTGGAAAGACAGCTGGCAAACTCTGTGACCTACCTCTAGTTTCAACATGCTGAGAGGTAATTTAATAACTTACTGTGTTCAAGGCACCCTTGAACCATGAAGAATTTTTATCCTATCATCATGGCAGGGATGCACCTATCACCTACACCATTTAGTTTTCGAGCCTTCAAATTCTTCAGAGTCATGTTTGTTAGTGATGTCTGGGAGAAAASAGCATGTTCCCATACTGATTTGGGACCATAGCTTGTCCTCTATTTGAGYATAAGCAAGGTCACCATTTGACAGGATACACAGTAGCAGAAAAAAAAAAWTTAGATTACAGTGAAGTGACAAAGTACATCCCACCTGACTGAACAGTCATACAGTATAGATCAAAAAGACTTTTTTTTTCTTTTAATATAATCACAAAATAAGGATAATAGGGAGAACATGAAGAAGCTAAAGCAAGGAAAAATGTTGGGTGTAATTCCTCATCACCCATTATAYACCCAGCATCAGATTATGTTCCTAAAAACCACAGTGCAAAAATGTCTCCAAACGCCAGGATTTACTGGGAGTGCGTGCATGGTTTAAACAACTCAGGACCCATTAGAAAACACATTGTTTTGAACTAGTCAGAACATTTGCAGTGCAGCAAATACTGAAGGAAGTMATTTAATTACTTTTCTCATCACTGTAACGCTACCAAGAACACAGCAGTATGTGGTATCTCAGATTTTCTGTGGGATGGGAACTGGACACAGTTCCAGTCACAAGTTTAACGTAATATTCTGCAACGGCTGTTTTGAGACTGGCCAAAACGTCAAATGTCAAATACACACATTTTGTCTGTTTYACACCTACATTCTGCCCATGTAAGTACATGATGACCTGTGGATAGCAATGGTAGCAGCATTTTCATAATGCAGTTACATTTCTTCAATAAGCAATAATCTTACTTAGTCTCATAAAATAATTTCTGCATCTGTAGGTTAATACAGTAGTATTTTTATATGACACTGCAAAATAAGTGCTATACCAAGGTTCATATTGTTCTCTTTATCACACTTGCCTTATTATTAAAGAAGCAACAAAAAGAAATGTTGCAAAACAGCTCCTCTGACAGTCAGCATTTTTCTTCTGTCTTTGGTGCATTTCCCCACCACAGTTGTCACAGCAACGACACATACAGAAGCAAAGTCCCACAAGAGGCAGTAACAAAATAAATAGCAATCCCAAGGCTGCGGAGACTATAAAACCGATTTCATAGTAGATGGCCTGTAATTCAGACAAAAATAGTGGTAATAGCAGATATAACATAGTAACTGCAATCAGTATAGAGCAAATAATTAAAAATCAAAACTACAAACTAAACCATCTGCTAAGTTACTGGGGTTATGGACTTGGCATATTTTGTCAATAACTGACAACTTTTCTGACAAAAAGATAGGTAACAYTGTATATACTGAGAGCTAATGATTATTTGTCTAGTACTATTAGCTAAGCAAACTACGAGACTAAGCGCTAAGAGAAAAGAAGGCTCACATGAAATAAATGTGAATCAGTGCAATGGAAACAGGTTAAAAATGAACACATCTGAATTCCCAGACCACAAATTTACTGTTTCTCACATCTGTTTCCAAAAAGGCTCCACAAATGTCAGCAAGGCTAACTAAAGCAACGCTTTATCAGGAGGAAAAGGAGGCTTAGCTTTTTCTCCTTTTTATCAGTTAAGAGTAGAAAAATTCATATGAACCCCAAAAGGAAGTATTTCACTGGATGATCAATTACAAYGGTAGAGGTTTCTCCAAACTGCTGAACTTAAAACTGCTTAGGGACTGGAAAACATGAAGAACCAGACAGATTTTAAGATCTGTCAGGTAAAGACATTTATTCTGCTGCCAAACAGCAAAGCAGCAGCAACTAAAAAGGACACTTTCAAAAGCTAGGAGGAGTGAAAGGGAACAATGCAATGCAATACCCTGACTTGCTTTCACACTGCAAGAGCCCAGGGACCAAGAAGCTGGGCCAGGCAGCCCTGGCACAGCCGCAATGTGGTTCCCAGGGTCAAGCTGCGAGCTGGCCGTGCCGTTCACCTCTGCTGAAAACACAATGCACCYGAAACTGGACCAGGGAGGTGTCTGCACACAGAGATAGCACACTGTGGGCACGCCCCAGGAGTCCTTCTTCCCTGGTAAATCTCTGTTCTCCTTTCCTTTCCCTCTCTTAGAACTAATTCTCACACTAGTACTTCAAATGCTCTTCTGTTTTACAGATCCACCAGCACAAGGCCAACGTGGCAACAGAAGGATAAAATTGAGGCTGTGTAACTGTCCTGCAAAATAAGTTACAATTTCTCACAAGATATCAATCATGCTCTAGTTCCAGCTTTGCTGATGCCCTTCCTCTCAATCCCTAATAAACAACTGAGCCAAATACAGCAACTACCACCATTAGCAGAGTTGCAAATTTCTGCCCTAATTACCAATTCTAGGATGAAAACTGTTTTTCTTAGTTATTATTAACTGCTCATTAAGACCTGTGCTTCCTTCTGAATATGAACTAGAATGCTTGAGAGAAGAATTTGGCTAGATTTTGCAAAAGAATTACTGTTTCCTAGCTATCTGAACACTTCAAAAATTTTTTGACAGCATACGTTMTTTTAAGATCGGTTAGACAGAAAAACAGTATTTAAAGTAACATTAAAAATGGCTATGGATGTTTTAACAGAAGCAGTGCAGATATGGTTAGTTTCTTTTCAAAGCTGTACATCTACCATAAGACATTACCTGAAGAGTCAGGACAACATTTTCTGGCTGTGGAAGTCAAAACAAATGGAGAGTGTGTATAATACACAGGCAGCATGCACAAAAAATAAATCCCGTGAATAATGAATAATTAACCATGAGTAGACCATAACAATTAACAACACAGAAACAATTACAAACACGCTGCTAAAGTAAAATAATGCACAGAAGCACCGTTAAATAATTATGAAGAAATATTTAAAATAAAATACACAGCAGCTATTTACTGGTTTCCATGATGAGTGAATGGAATCTAGGATTTGTCCAACAAATACTGCCATCTCTAAACAATGACAGACCAGTTACTTCCACACTGAGCATAACAAAAGGCCAGAGATTGCATTATTTTGTGGTTTGGTGATTTCTTCATGAATTCCACCTGTCATAACTGATATGATATTCTTGACTAACTTTTTATTTTCAGTGCTTATTTTATTTTAGTAGCTCCAATAGCAGTTTTAAGATCTTAACTCAACACACAAAATTCAACCTCACTTTAAATTAGTTATTTAATTAGAGATTTAATATAAATTGTTCAAAAGAAAACAAGAAAAGGAATTCAAGAAAGACTGAAGAAATGCATTTAACAGTTCTTACCTATTTTCTTATCTGTAAGACCAGAAAAACACTGAAAACTAAATATTCAATGACAGGAAATACAGAAGAACTTAATTTCCCCATTGTTTCCACAATGCAAAATTAATTTATTGTATTTTCCCCTTCACCTCTGCATGACAAGTTCACAGCTGATAGTGCTTTCCCCTTWCTCCTAACTGGAAGAGAAGTAGACAAGCTAAAGATGGCAAAACCCCTCTGCAAAGTCTGATGTGTGAGAATCYGAAACATTCATATTTTAGAGATTATTTTTCCAGCATCACATATATCCTTTTGAAACCTCTACTGTACAGCACTACTTWAAATGTTCAAAATTGTATTTTGAATATATTAACACATTTTCTTYTGTATTAAAGGGAGAATAACTAACGCTTCCCCTCCCTTATAAATCTGGTACCAAATATGATTTTGAACGTTTCAAGCAAGCAGCCTCCCAGCAGAAGCAAAGCAATGGCAGCAGCAGCGAGCTGGCTCCCCTGAGCAGGCACGGCTCAGCTGCTGGGCTGTCCTGGCAGACTGCTGCCCCTGGCAGGGCATGGGGACACAKTCATGGTTAGAGTCCAAGTGGGAACACTAGGACACAGAGCACAGAAGTGAGAAAGGCCTCCTGGGTCACTAATACATTCTATAAATAGGTTAAAAAAAGTGATACAGAGCAATGACAACAGAAATTTAACATGATAAATAGGAGAAGCAGATTTCTTGATCCTGCTACTTACTGAAGGGCTGCTCTCAATGCTTGGTGAGCAAGTCCTCTCACATGTCGATTCTGATCCCCTTGCTTCTGTGCTAGCACAGTCTTTTRCCCAGGAAGCAGAATCTTTTTCCTAGTGCTTCCTCTCCATATGTATTTTAAAAGAATAATCACACCTCTTAACTCTTTTCCTAAGCTAAACAATCTCTTCCAATTTCCTCTGAAGATAAACAGGTTTCCCAGACCACCCGAATGGACACTTCCTGAACTCATCCTAGCCTGAATTTATTCTCCCTGAATCTGAGTGATCAAAACCATAAGCAAACATTTCTAACATTATCCACACCCTTCAGCAAGATTCACACTTTGCTATCTCCATTGTAAAGTCCTCCAGGAGCACATCTACAGCCATGATGGCTGCTTCACAGCTGACCCTTACTAACGCTTGTGTCTTTTGAAGGATACTTTACTTGTCCTGATATAACTTCCTTTTCCAAATTTCTTTCAAAGTTTTGCACTGTATTCAGGTGAGAATTTGCACTGACACATGGCCTGTATCTGTTCTGCTGCTCAAGCACTTCTAATATTTTAGCTGCCACCCTATAATCACATCTCCTACAAAGGACTAGTCTCAGATTTCTCACTACCAGTTACTTAATACTGTGCTTATGGTCATGGATACCACCTACAGTGTAACAGTTTTGTTCTAAGACTCTCCCATCCAAGCCCTACCTTACATTCTTTCCTGGGTATGCAGGAACATTTGTGATGCACCACTCTCCAGAGCCCCACCAAACAAGCAGATGGGATCARTAAGAGTCACTTGATGCAGCAAAACGACAATACCCACACACCAGGATGTCGTGAAGAACTTATCAAGCTACTGGAGAAATAGGCTATTGTTGGGAAGACATGGAAGCACCATAAGGCTACCCTGATTCATGGCAAAAGCTCAGTGTCTGCATGCAAATACCATACTCATCCTCTGATGTATGGGTAAACCATTCTGCAGGGACCAGAAACAAGTAGCTCATATTAAATAACTTGTCTGCTGCCTGGGCACARTTAAATTCCTACTGCAGAAACTCAACTCCTGACACTGTTTCAAAAGCAGAAGGCTGTGTTCCAGAAGAGCCTGAAGATCAGACATTCATTCCATTCCATCTTCTTGACAATATCTAAATAACATATTTGTAATATAAATTCATGATTTTGAAACAATAGTGGAAGCTTACATGAGAGCTAAGCAGTAACGGCTCTAAGTTTTTAAAAATAAAAGCAGCATTTTTCAATACAAAGAGCCTTCAATCTTTGTGCAAACAATCACATTACAGCTGGAATTTACAGATCAGCTTTAACTGTGAGTAGTTCCCTTACACTRGCTAGTGGAATTGTCTTTGTAATTGGTCCCAACATTTTTCATGAAAACACCGTACTTGTTATTCAAAAATTTTGTATTTGTACCCTATACATACAGTTTTAAAATACTAATTCCTGGTTTAGAAATAAAACTGAATTTCAAAATCATAATTTTCATTATTGTATGCAGATATACATAGACAATTTACCTTTTGATAATCGCCCTGTGTATTTCCCAACTGCTGCTGTGCTAGTTTTCTGATGAGATCTGAAAATAAGAAGGAATATTCCAGAGTTTTAAACAACATAATTTATAAAAGCAGCGGAAAGAGAATAGTATGAGTTCTACTTTTAGGTAGGCAAGATGAAGTTAAGAACAGAAAACAACAGCATAGGCAGGCATCTAAGTGTCCCCATAAATCCATCTAGTAACAACATTTTTAATCAACTGCGTGTTTTATGAGCTCACAGGAATATAGCCAGATTGTCTATCAATGAATTAGTTACTACTGAAATACAGTGAAGGTTTTTCCAAGGTCATCCTCTGAGCCATAAAATCATGATTAAAAGTTCATCACACTTGTATCAATTACTTGGACAATGTTTTCGGTATCAGCTTTGCTTTATGTTTATGTCAAGTATATAAATGCATAAATGTACACATACACRGAGCATTAGATACATAATGTGCAAAACAAGCATGCTAATGATGACTTCTTCACTTTGAAGGGTACAAAGACCTTTATCTTGCCAGCATCATCCCAATCTTTTTTCCCATTTTTATTTTTATATATTCTTTTTTTTCATCTTTGGACCAACAGTGAGTATGTAACACCACCAAAACAAATCAGAAAGCCTAACGTGTTACTATTTACTATGCATCGATCCAGCACTTAGTCTAACTTGTTCACAACATTAAAAAAAATACAGCAATCATCAAAAACACAAAGTAGGAATTTAACACAACTAGTGCCACCTTCAGTAAACTCTGGCAGCTGCAACAAATGAATCTCCTTTTTGGGACATCACCAGCCTACCCTTGTCAAGGTTTGACAACCCCATGGGAACTGTTGCTCCCAGTCACTTCTGTGACACCCTGCACTTGAGGGGCAGGGGCACCACAGCTCTGTAGACCCTCTGCCTCAGAGAAGCACCAGTGGCTCTGGGCATGCCCCATGCTAGGCTGTGTAAAAACAACAGTGTTTGAATGTTTGGGAGAAATAATTGACTGATCTTTTGGTCTCCTCTGATCAAGAGGAAGCACATTAAGAAGGAGCACACCTCACATCAAAGAGCTCAAGGAGGAACTCTACCTGCTATGTTCATGCAGAGTTGGACTTCATACTATTACTGCCCTGTTTCTAGTCTCTCCATGTGCAAATTAACACAGCTGATGAAAGCCAGTAAGTTACCTAACCCAGAGATCAACAAAGGACTCAAAGGTGTGAAACTGATTGTTCACTTCCCAAAAATCCAAGGCSTCTTAGCATTTATTGTAGCACTTGTGAAACATGTTCAGGGAGGGCACAGAGGTTATGATCTSCCTCCTCTTTCACTCCACACATGGCTCAGGAAAACAAATTCCTAAGCAAGCAGTGTCCATAGTTGTCCCTCAACACCCCGCAGTTGGAACATGGACTTGACTGGCGTGCAAATTAAAGAGATCCTGAAGAGTTCCTCATAGAAAACTGTCCAAAGAAAGACATAGAAGCAAGGCACAAACTGCTGGTTTAAGGGAGGCAGTCCCTGCAAGAGAGCTGCAGCCATGAAGACCGCCAATTAAAAAGTAAAAATCTTTTAATGCATCACTGAAATGCCAAGCCAAAAATCCTTCCTTGAACAGGGAGTACATTCCAAAACACTCAGAGTGCTGGTAGCAGGATAAGCAAGGACTCCATGCCGAGGCAACCACCTTCTGCAAGGACCATACAGAAAGTACACGATAAGGCTGAATTCCAGAATAAGAGCAATAAAAGCACAACATGTGTAGAATAAGCACCTGGGAAGTATAAAAGGGTTATGAACCCCTGCAATTCCTTTCAAGCTCTGCATCCTGGGACTCATGAGACTGCTGAAGGAAAGGGCACACACCCATAACTGGGCAACACACAACTGATCCACTGCCACAATTCTGAAACATTTCAGCCCCTAGGAGCAGCAGAGTTCTCCCTGAAGAGCACCTGTGACTCTCCAAAAGTTTCAGCAACAAGGAGATACAAAGCCAAGTGAGATAAAACTGCACAAACCCCAAAGCTGTAATACACACTGGTTGTTGAGCAGTTTTTTCTTCTTCAGCAGAGGTAATACTTCTTTCTACCTGTTGATATCTATGCTACATAAATAAATTTAAGAAATATCACTGCATAAAATAATAAATGCAATAATTTTTTTTACAGGCAGATGGTTTTCAACATACAGGAGAAGAGCTAAAACAACTMTCTTCTTTACATATTGATTCACTATTTAGCCCTGTGTCAGAGCCACTGATGAAAAACTTTGACCAGTGTAAATTAGAATGTAATAGGAAGGAATAAAAAGCAATAGTTTTTGTGMTCCTCAGTGCATGAAGCAGAACAAACTGTATGCAGGTGAGCAGATGCAGGAGCCAACTGCCAGGATGCTGTGGCATCACTCCCCTTGATGCTACTCTGAAGGCAATCAGAAGGGCCCCCAGCAACCTGCTCTCACTTGAAGGCTGCTCCTAATTTTGAGGTTCATCTTGCTTTGGAAAACAACTGGACTTTATGTCTGAAGGCCTCTTCCAATGTGATTTATTCCAAAGTTATCCTGCAAKCATAATGACTTTCTATTATAATTATTTAATGCAGCAGTGAAAACGCTACCAGGAAGCATGTAAGAAAGTAAGATTTTATTATTGACAAAAATGTCCTTTGATACWTTTCCTACTGTTGCCAATTGGTACAAGAAAATCTTGCAAGCACTAGCTTTTCTGTGAAATAAAAATGGGTGTGTTTACCAATTCTCCTAGTTGAGTGTCTGTCCCCATAACAAGTAAAACATTAAAAAAAAAAATCTCAAAGATGTTACATGAAGTTTTATATACTTGTATAAAAACACACAYGCGCRCACACACACATTCATGGACCTCTAYAGGCATACATTYTGCRTATGAAAGTAACTACTCAAGAGAAACAGAATGGTTGAGAATGGAAGGGACCCCTCCAGATCATCCAGTCCTACCTCCCAGCTCAGGCCACAGTGACCCCCCACAGGTTACCCAGGGCCATGTCCGCTTAGGTTTTGAGCATCTCCAAGAAGAAGAGACAATACTTAAAAAAAAACAACAARCCAAAMCAATYCAMAACTTGCTCTGATTCCTTGTGATATGTTTATACTGCTCAGTGTTCCTGATTCACAGTTTTATTTATATTGTTCCCATATTTTATAGCSTGTGAGTAAAAAAAAAATTACAGTMRTCAACCTGAATACACTATGACAACCTTATGCGGAAAAAAAACACTTTGTACCATTTTTTTTAAATTTAGAGACTCTAAAGCTTGTTCATCAAAGAGTAAAACACCTTTAGAAAGAAAGCCTGAAAACAGGTACAAAAGGTTCCCACATGAATTGAATAAGTTTAATAGTAAGAACAATACAGGCTTCAGGCATAAAACAATGGTTGCTACACAGCTCACTTTTTCTCCTTAACTTTACAAAACACGGGATTGCCCTGCTGAATAAAGATTCTCTACTTAGATTACTCTGCAATGATTTTTCCTAAGTAATACGATGCTCCRGAGTGCTTTACTAACCAGGCAGCACAGAGCAACTGACCAGCCTTTATCATAAATTTATTATTTCAATAGTTTTCAGTATTAACAGGATTAGACATATTCCCAGTTGATTAATTTCAAATGAAATGTGGAAGTTTTATATATTCCCATTAAATAAAAAAAAAACAAAACAAAACAAAAACTGGCTAGAACTCAATGTGAGATTACTTGCAGTCATTCGCATACAGGCCTTGGTGAATCTGCAGCACCAAAAACTTCCCTGCTCATTGCAGGATGGTTGGACTAGGTGATCTATAAAAGTCCCTTCTAACTCAAACTATTGTGTTTGTGTAGGTTTTACTGCACATCARTGGTAATCACAGATATCACTGCAGAGCTTAAGGGTTAAACTGGAGAACATCCTGTGCCAGGTACTGTGTAAACAGGAGCTATATATGGCTACACTGCTCACTGTAGCACAATGAAGGGACACAGCTCAGCTCACATTTTATGCAGCCAAGGATTTTGGTCTGCTTTTATGGAGCATATTTCCTCCCTAGCTAGAACACCTCATCTCTAGCATTCAAATAAGCTTTTATTTACAGCTAAATTCAGGTAACTCTACACAATTTTCTCTCGTATTATTGGCWAAGTGCCATCTTGAGGCTGATTTCTGTTTCAAATATATGTCAGGAAAATGTGATAAAAAGTGGCGTCCTTTATTTTCAATTTAACTGGATTACTTCTGAAATCTTGGCTTGACCAGCTGTACACATTGTTTCACAGSACCACTAATCCACGGCTTTAGCACAGAACACATTTTATCATTGGGGTTAAAGAGATTTACCTTGTGAGGCTCATTTACACAGCTAATTACATTACTGCTTTGCTGACTCCTTCCTGCTCTCATCACACATACGAAATGCCATCTGCCCTAGTAAATCTAACTAGCCACATGAACTGCTAATTTACCAATGCAATTTGTGAAGAAATATTAAGTACCTCTGAGAATCCACAGTTAAGAAAACATAATCACAACTCCTGCATTGCAAGAATACTGTGTGTATACACTCAATATCTCATTACTCTGGTAAGAAAATTAGGTTATCACTAAGAGTGCTTCTTAGAACTGCTCTACTGAAAGGGATAGAAAAAATAATAGAGATTTAAAAATAATCTGTCTAGCTAYTGAGTACCAACATAAAATAATTACAAATTCTTCTGCCAAGGAACCTTTTCAAATCTAGGTGACAGGAAAATAGCTGGAGTAAAACCTTTGGGAAAGCTATGCTTCCACCTCACTCAAGAAATTCCACTGAGCGAGTTCAGCTGTAGTGCAACTCCAGCATTAATCAAATTATGCCAGAAATCAATGCATTTTTATGCATAATATATTAGGTTTCTATTCTRAAAGGTCTTCAAATAAGCCAATAAGAACCATGACTGAAGCATTCATATCACACAAAATGGAGACTTCTCTCAAACAACAGAGGAGAATTACATAGRTAATACAAATGATCAATTAATAACTACT